GGGTTAATTAATTTTTAGCCACCTAAATCTTAGGATAATTTGCTCTCCTTGTACTTTAGCCTCATATTTACACTTTAGTCTTTTTCAGGATTGCTTTCGAATTTAACCTTTTGTGTTTGTTCTGATTTCGCTATTTTTCCAGTTTTAATTTTAGTTGTAATTTTGTTAGATTATTTATGTTAAAATCCCTTATATTTATGTGTGTTTTTATTTAAGTCCCGTGTTTAATTTTCAATTTGTATGTTTAATTTTACATATATTTAAATTTAGTCATTATTTTAACATGTATATATATACACTTTTTAAAATGTATAGTTTAGCATGTTATGATTTTGTTTTTGTATTTAGGTCACATATGTACATTGTATGTTAATATGCATGGTTTATAATTCTTAATTAAAATATATGTATGTAATTTTTTGTATGTCACATTGTATGTTTTTTTTTATTTTTGTTTAATTGATTTTAGCATGATATTTTTTTCCACAATTTGCATGATAGCCTTATTTGCATAACTCGACGTATTCATAATTGGATTAAGGGTAATATATTTTTAATTTAAAATTATTTTAAGTGGGCAGTCATAACTGATTTGAGGTCCGCTTTTAATGATTTTAAAATAAAAATGTATCCCGAAAGTGAAACCAAAAAATTGATTCGTCACCTAAAATTTGGGAACGAGAGAAAAAGAAATGTTCGTTTATTTAAATATATCGAGAAAAGGTTGTTATATCTTTAAGATCTGGTCTCGATATTTGTAAATAATTGAACATTTTTATCTTTCTAAAACGACTCGGTAATTTTAATTTAATTTATTTGAGTGCTTTTGAATGTTTTTAAATTTACATCATTGTTTTATGAGATCAAAAATTAAATTAAATTTGAATTTGTAAAGTTCATTGCAAAGACGTTAATTAATCGGCTAGGTACCGATTTAGGGCGTTGTGGGGGTGTTAATCCTTCCCCGCACGTAACCGACTCCCAAACTTGGATTTTGGTAACGCATACCTCAATTTGTTGTTTTAATTAAAGTTAATTTTTATTTAAAATGACAAAGCATTTTTGGGTGCCCAATTACACCCTAATCAAAGATTGGTGGCGACTCTTCGAACCGTATTTTTCGATCGTAAAGGAAATTCAAATTTTTTCGAACGAGAGGTCTTTTAAATCGCATATGTTTTTAAAATGAAAAGAGACAATTAAGAATTAATGTGGTTTTCAAAATCGCACCTTTTTTCACCTTTTAAGAAAAAAATCGTTTCGACACATATATGCATTTAGAAGTTAACTGCATCTGTATATATATGATTTATATGAATGTATATTGTGTGATAAATTTGATAGCCATGATTTATGTGATAATAGACATGAATATAAGTTTATATGAAATAAGATCATGTGATATGAAGGTGGTATATGAATATAAATGATTAATTAACATGAGATACATGACCATGTGAAAGCAAGAATATGTATATGTGAACATGTGTTATGAGATAAGAATCATAACTATGAGCTATGTGAAAAAGAATACAATTAAAAGTGAAAAGTTAGGTGATAAGTGAATGTGAATTACATGGAAATATGTTATGTGAAAGTGAACTATGTGCCTACGTGAATATGTAAAAAGATGAAAAATAATGCCCATGTTATATAATAAGAGAACTATAGGTATAGTTGGCATGCCAAGAGTCGAGGGTCTACGTGGTCTTTCGGGACATAGTGGTCCTTCGGGACATAGTGGTCATTCGGGACATAGTGGTCCTTCAGGACACAGTGATCCTTCGGGACATAGTGGTCCTTCGGGACATAATGGTCCTTCGGGACACAATGGTCCTTCAGGACATAGTGGTCCTACGGGACAAATTCTACGCGTCCCTAGTGGGATTTATACGAGTTGTGGTGACAACATTGTGCACAACCTTTATGTACTCACATACCTTAAGTTCTCAGTAGTGTGCATGGGCTAACAAAAAAGGATAATAATAAAATGTGAGTTGTAATGAGAAATGTGTTACATGTTTTTTATGAGGATATATGTGAATGTGTGTATGTGTTACAAGAAAGAATGTGTGTTATGGGTTATGGCATTTGTTATGTGATGTACATGAATATATGTTAATATATATATGAATGAATATCAATGACTCATATGATGATGTTAGAACATGTTATAAGATATAGAATATGAAAATAAGAGATCATATGAACAAGAGATAAGAGATAGAAAGGATAATCATATAAGAGTACGAGGAAATATAAATGATGACATGCATGTGTGTATGTAATTGTGACATGAAAAAGTATGTATACAAGTATGACGTTGTATTACATGATATATAATGCATTTAATAATTTACATATGGATTTATATGTCTCACTAAGTCTATGACTTAGCGTGTGAGTGTTTCACACGTAGGTTCAGGAAAACAGGAAGAGAAGCTATGAGGAGCAAGACAGGTTAGTTTCTCCTTACTGAAGGTCAGATCAGAACATAAATGAATAATATATATTTTGTTATATAGAATCTAGTTGACATGTAGTTAAAAGATTTGTATTAGATACGCTCTGATCAGTTTTGTAAAACCATATGTTTTATATCATAGAAAGTAAAATGTTTTATTAGAAATATCAAACTGAATCTTGGGTATTTTGTAAAAGTAAATGTTTTGAGAAGTCAATGTGACACCTCAGACTCGTATCCGGGTCGGGTACGGGTAGGGGGTGTTACACAAAAGCCGTTCGATGTTCAATTAAAACAAGGGTGCATCGATGCATTGATTCATGCATCGATACACTTACCTGAAAGATTGATTTTAGGCTCGTTTTTTGTTCGAAATACTTTGTGAAAATTGTTTCAAAAATATTTTAAGTATAAAACATAATTTTACACATGAGTAAGGATTGAAATTGAACTTTGAAAGACTTGGAATAATATTTTGATATTCGAATAAATATATCGAATATACTTTAGAAAATCTTATGTAAAATCTTAAAATTCATTTAACTTAATTTGTTATATCGAAACATCAAAATGTTTTCAACAAAATTATATATATATATATATTTTTTTTTATTTATTTTAGGTTTTTAAGTAAGGGGTGAGCGTTCTATGGAGTCAATTTTTTTTTGACTTCTTTTAGTTGACGAGTCATAATTTATAACTTAAACTTTTTTTAAATTTTTTAGAGTCGAGTTGTTTGAGTTTTGTTTAAATTTAATTGTAAATATTTATAATATTATAATAATATTTGATTTCAATTTAAACGATTTTCTATAATCATACGCAATACATATATTTATTTATATTTTTTATTTGTGATATATATATAGTCATACAAAACCGATGAACTTGTCTCAAACTTAAAAATCAATCCAATAATTACTAAAACTTAAGTTATATTTTATAACTCGACTCGAATTTAAAAATTTTCCGAGTCGAGTCGATTTTATAAAATTACGAGTCAAGTCAATTTAAGTTGAGTTTTTTCGAGTTGAATCGATAAATTTTTATAGTCGGGTTAAATTTTACTCACCCATAAATTAAAGATTTTTTTATTGAATTAAGACAAAATTGATTGAAATATATAAGTTTTCTATTGGATTAATGATTTACAGTCAATGACTTATTTGTAATAAATTTTGAATTGAATGATCTGTTTATAACTTTTAAAAAAGAGTAACTTGTTTATCAGAAAACATATAATTGAGTAACCTGGTGTGTATTTTAGCCAAAAATCATAATGAAAATGATTCGAGTCATGTGTCGAATACTGAGTGAGTGGACTCACCAGATATTTTTTTCTTATTGTGTTTTTTTTTTCAAATAGGATTAATAAGTTAATACTATTTTCCGCCATTTTCGAAATGGCGTCAATTATTATAATCACTAAAACAGAAATAATTGAAAAAGACAATAAAACAAGCACACACTCGCTCACTACACTCACTCACTACACTCTGTGCGTTGCTTTTTCAACTACACAGCGTCCTTTTTCTTATCTTCTCCAACTTCTTTACCTTTTTTTCCAGCTATGGGTCGTGCCCCTTCTTAACAAACTTATATGCTTTAGCTTATTTTTCTGCTAAAATAGAAAAACCCTAGCGGTTATACTACTCCTCACCAGATCTACATTGCTCTGCATTTAGGTAAGACTTTACAGGATTCTTTATTTCTTCCGCTTTTGCTTTTGCTTTGTTCTTTTATTCCTTTGGATTTTTCTCTATTTTTAACGCTTCTCGCCGTTAGATCTGAGTAAAAACACTTCAGTTTTAGCTGAAGAACCTGCGTTGTGAACTAGATCCAAGCACGATATTTTCTCTTTGTATAATTCTTATACCTAAGCTTATCTTCCTGATTATTGTTCTTTGTAAGTGATTTTATTGGAAAAAATGGATTTTTATTTTATTTTTTGAAATTTTGGCGTAACTATGTTTTGGGTTTGGTTGCATTGTTATCTGTTTGGTAGCTAAGAAAAAGTGAAGGAAGTGGGAAGGAAAAAAGAGCTCGCATATTTTGTTTTAATTTTTTATTCAATTTGGTTTTAAAGGATTGAAAGAGACACCTTACTTGAGCGTCGGTTACTGTGAGTGTGCATTATTAACGTTTAAAAGTCAATACTTCTTTTTTGCTTGCTTTTCTATTTTAACCATTTTTTTGTCGGTCACCAAACAGGGCAGTCGCCTCTCGTATTAGAATGAAAATGGAATTAAGTAGAACTTTGGTAACCCTCCCCCGCTTAATGTGGTGTGCTTTTAAAGCAACGGGAATTTAGAACTTATTTTGGCTAGGGTGTTTCAATTAATTTAAGATTTAAGGGGACCCCAATTTATTGTAAGCTGCTCTGTCTAGTTCCTTTCTTTCTGCTTTTGTCATTGGGAATTTCTTAAAGACACAACAGTGTGAGGAAGTATCAGTTTTGAGTTTGCTTGATTAGTACTTCAATGGGTTTAATGACACATTTCTCCCTGATTTGCTAGAGCTTGTATTGTAGCTTAAAATGGAGGACCCCGATGTACAACCTGGTGAAGATCTGGTGATAAAGCCCTTGAATTTTGACCACCAGTTCGCTGAAAGTCCGGCAGAAAGTGTGAGTAAGGTTGCTAAGCCTAGGAAATTTAGTGAAGCAGCGGAGACAAAAGTCTCAACCCCGGCTAATTCAACCAGGAAGAGAAGTGATCCTAGGAATGGATCTGAATTAAGTTCAGGTTTTGCCAAATCAACTGTATCTTCTTCATTGAGATCATCCAGTTCTGCTGCTGCTCCAAGAAGAAACAGCACAGGGGGCATGTATGAGAAGTCATCAGCCTCTAGTGCAAGACTTCAGAACAATGCTAGTTCTACTGCAGGCAAGAAAACCACCACCCTGTCGGCTACTGAATCAGTTAGGCGGTCCCTACCGGAACTCAGAAGAAGTTCACTGCCTTCAGTGGCGCCAAAACCCACATCCAGAGCAAACCTTCCAGAGACTAGGAAGTCCGTTCCAGTGTCTCTAGTTGGTCGAAGCTTAAGTACATCAACTGCATCTGATTCAAGCTTTCAAAAAACTGTGAGAAAGTCCAGTGTAAAGTCATCGTTATCAGCCTCTTCATCTTTGAAAAAGCTTACTTCTTCATCACTGGACAGCACTGCGAGCAGCACAAGTAGAAAGACAATTTCAAAGGTTTCTTCTCCAACCACACGCTCACCTGCTGTATCCAGTGGTTTAAGAGCTGGGTCTTTGTCAACATCCCTGGATTGGAGTTCTAATTTATCTGGGCGGAAAAAAGCGGTGACCCCAGACAGGAGAGATTCACGTTTTGTTGTTCTTCCCCAGGTGGAGACAAAAGCTGGTGATGATCTGGTAAGTATATTTGTTACATCACAGAATATCTTATGGTATGCATCAGGATGTTAACACTTTCCGCAATTTAGTCATGGCCGTCTCTTTCTAGGATCTGATCTCAATTCTCAAATGGCCTTTGCATTTGCTATATGATTATGATTTATGAATAAACAACTTAAAATGTTTCAGTGGCATTGGTTTTTCTCTTAGTTCCTTCCTAAACACCTGACAGTGGATTTTGTTATACCATGAGTTTGTTCCCATCTGGAAACCAGATAAAATTATCCCTGATAAGTTTGAACAACCTTGTTTGCTTTATAAGAGTTACTTAATAGTGACCATTGTAAGAATTATTGTATGAAGAAAACTTGGCTTTGAATCAATTATGTATAGGAGATATTGGTTTTCTGGTGATTTCCACCTGCATGAACACTTGATCATTGAACATGCTAGAAAAACCTTAGCTTTAGCCTAGACATGAATAAGATGAGCTGATTAACTCTACAAGTTGCTATTTCCGAGTAGTTGTACTGTTATTGAAGTTTTTTTTTTTTTTTGAGTTTATCTATATATATCTCTTTATCCTTCAATATATAACTGTCTGTTAATGTGTATGTTATATTTTCTATGGTTCATCATCAAATGTCATATTTCTTCTGAGTAAGGTTCTAATTGATCTAGTTGTTCTGTTTGTCCATTGCATCATCAGAGATTGGATCTTAGAGGCCATAGAGTGTGCAGCCTTAATGCTAGTGGCTTGAACTTGTCACCAAATCTAGAGGTAAACTGATTCTTTTATTAGACATATTAATTTATGAAAAATTTTGTATGTTTTTTATTTCATTTGAGGCTGCCCCATATCGGGCTATATCCCTTTTTCTCCTTGTAAAGCAATTGTCGAACTTCTACACACTTAAGGTTGCTAGTCAGCTAGTGTATGTATGGCTTATATGTGCTGCTCCATCATTTGGGGAGTTTTCCATTTTTAGGTCCATTTGTTAGGTATGCTTGCTAAATCCTCAATACTGAAATAAGTATCGATTCCTTCAACGTTATATAACTATAAAGCATGTATGTGATTATTTATCTAGAAATAAGTTTTAGAGGCTGGGAAGAGGGAACTTAGGAACTGAAGTGAAATCAGTCTGATCTTATTGTTCAGATTGGCTGGAATATGGCATGAAATCAGAATATTACTGGAGAATTTTTCTTGAATTCCATATTATTGTTCCATTCTGCTAATTATTTTATATGGCAGTTTGTTTATCTCAGAGATAATCTCTTATCAACAGTGGAAGGTGTTGAAATATTGACACGAGTGAAGGTTTGATAATTTGTGAACTGCACACTGTCTTTCGCCTGTATTGAGGCATACATAGGAATTGATTTATTTTATTTATCCTTATGAATAAATTGGTGATCGATCTTTCCAGGTTCTTGATTTGAGCTTTAATGATTTTAAAGGGCCTGGATTTGAACCTCTTGCAAATTGCAAAGCTTTACAGGTTTGCCATTCTAGCATACTTCTTTTTTGAATGCCAAAAGCAAACATTGGTTTCCTCCATGCTTCAAGGTCCTTACATATTTATTGCTTGTGCAGCAATTATATCTTGCTGGGAATCAAATCACTTCACTTGCAAGTTTACCTGAGCTACCGAACTTGGAGGTGAGCTCTTAAAGTTGTATCTATCTTCAAGATCGTGTTTCAGGATTTACATTTAATTTTAGCCTTCTAAATATTTGTACTTCTTCTTTGTTGTTCCCTTTTTTCTCTAGTTTCTCTCTGTTGCTCAAAACAAGTTGAAGTCCCTTTCGATGGCAAGTCAACCTCGACTACAGGTTTACATTCAATTTTGATTATTTGATTATTATTGGTTATTCTTCATATATTTTTGACAGTTTATTGTGTACTGTAAATATAATGTATTCATATTTTCCTGTGCAGGTTTTAGCTGCCAGCAAAAACAGAATATCAACTCTAAAGGGTTTTCCTTATCTTCCTGTTCTTGAGGTTAGTGAGTGCCTGGAGTTTATGATATAAGCTGGTATATATCACATCATGATGTGTTTTTAATTGTGCTGTGGCACAGCATTTACGAGTGGAGGAGAACCCTATACTTAAGATGTCTCATCTGGAAGCAGCTTCCATTTTGCTTGTTGGGCCTACCTTGAAGAAATTTAATGATAGAGGTACTTCTATTTTTGAATATCTATAAGTTTGCATTAGAGGTACTCTTCAGAATTAATAAGGGGTATTCTTATAGATCTTTCCCGAGATGAGCTAGCACTTGCAAAGCGTTATCCTGCACATACAGCTTTGTGCATTAGGGATGGGTGGGAGTTTTCTCGTCCAGACAATGCTGCAGGTTTGTATTTTGTGATAACTCCTTGTTTACTATTTGCTTTGCAAATTAAATAGCATCAATATAGGCACAAAATATGTACACATGGCATGAGATGTACTTAGCAAAGCATGCACTTTGAGACTTCTTGTGTTGCTACAGCGGTAACGGGAAAGGGAAAAAGACAAAAATGTAGTTAAACCTTGAAATTTTTTATGTTCTCCTAACTTTTTATCCTTAACGTATCTTAGGCCATAAATTTTTAATGTTTTCAAAATATTTAAATTTTAGTATTTTTTTAGATATTAAAAATTTTGTTGTGTCTCCGCTGCCCCCCATCCATATAAAATTCCTGGTTTCATCCCTGATATTTAATGTATGATTTTGTCAGCAGATTCCACATTTTGCTTTCTTTTTGAGCAATGGAAGGATCGTTTTCCTCCTGGTTATCTGCTTAAAGAAGCCTCCATTGACAAACCTTTTGAGGAGGATGCTTGTCTCTGTCACATTGTTTTTGTTCAAGAGAGCACACTGAGCACTGATTCAGATATAATCTTAAAGTATCAATGGTTTCTGGGGGAGAGAACACTTTCAAATTTCACTGCTATTCCTGATGCCAGTGGCGAGGTAATTGATCAGGATTGATTGTTACTTCTTCTGTAAACATATTTGGCTGATAAATACTTCTATTTTATGCTTTGTAATGTCATTTTTTCTTTATTATTATTATTATTGGCTAAATATGGTATCATGTGATTGTCTAGGTTTACTGGCCAAAGCATGAAGACATTAATAAAATATTGAAAGTGGAATGTACTCCAGTTTTAGGTGAAACTGAATATCCTCCAATTTTTGCTATATCATCTCCAGTTGCACGAGGTATATACTTTGTCCTTTGGTTATTGAGTTTTCCTTATTTTGCATTTTTTTTGCAATATGCTTTAGTGCACATGCATGCACATAGCAGAATCTGTCCACAAGTCTATATAATTTTATGCACCTGCATATTGTCAGTTCATTTCACTTTGTAGTTTGTACAAATCTGTCTTATTTTCTCCACTTTTAAAGCTTGCTTCTCTACCTTGTGAAGGGAATGGAATTCCAAAGGTTTTAAACCTTGAAGTACTTGGTGAACTGGTGGAAGGTAATGTAATCAAGGGTCATGCTAAGGTTGCATGGTGTGGTGGGACTCCTGGGAAGGGTGTTGCTAGGTAAGAATGCTGGTTAGTGTTTTTAGGACTTGCCCATTACTGATACGTGTACGTTTGTGGATTTCTTTTAAATAAAACCTTATGGATAACTTGTTCTCATATTTTCAGCTGGTTAAGGAGAAGATGGAACAGCAGCCCAGTGGTAATTGCTGGAGCAGAGGATGAAGAGTATCAGTTGACCATAGATGACACTGACTCCAGTTTGGTCTTTATGTACACACCAGTAACAGAAGAAGGTGCCAAAGGGGAGCCACAGTATAAGTATACCGATTTTGTAAAAGCAGGTGTGTGGGAAAAATTTATGCATATCTCAGCTTTGATATAACTATATTTTGTCTTTTATATTTATGTATATCCCAGTTGCATGTGATTCCTATAGCAGTTGTTTGCATTTCTATTAACTGTTGTTTGCATGTAAGCTGCTAATTATACCTTGTTATGCCATTCTTCAAAAGATATACACGTCTCTTTGAAGTCTTGACATCTTTGGGAGTTTAACTAGGTTTGCACTTTCTGTTGAGTCTGCATCTCTTTCTGTTCATTTTACGGTTCGAGAAAGGTGTTCTAAATTGAGGACATAATTAGATGTTATAGGCGCTTATGCCCGGCTGTTCATCTTATGTGTTTTCTGTTTCGAATTCCAATTTAAATGACTAAATATATTGGCAGCTCCTCCATCCGTCAATAATGTCCGAATTATTGGAGATGCTGTAGAAGGGAATGTCGTCAGAGGAGTTGGCAATTACTTTGGAGGACGAGAGGGTCCCAGCAAGTTTGAGTGGCTACGTGAGAATAAGGAGACTGGGTTAGTACACTTTTAAAATGAGTACTTTGGAGCATTAGCGGATTTAATACTTTCTCCTCATGTGTTATCCCCACCCCTTTCCTCTTTATATCTATTATGTATTCCTCTTACTTGAATTGACCCTTTTCTCTATTGTGTATATAAAGCTTCGGAAACTTATTTGTTTTTGTTGTTTTTTCTTTTGCAAAACTGTTTCAAAAAAAATTCATATATCTTCATATTTTATACAGTTTGTTATTTTGCCTTATTTTAATACAGCTTTCTTGTTCACTTGGCTCTCTTATGTTTATACATGAGTATACATTCTGTTCTATGGAGATAACTTCTTAATCATTCCTTTATAATATTGATTGGATTTTTTCCATTAAAAAATCATCTTAAGGTTTAATACCAAGTCCCAACATTGTTTTCACACAGTTTTCTTGCATTATATTACCTTTAGTTTAATTCTTCACTCATCCTTTCACTGGAATTTGTTGACAGAGACTTTCTGATCGTGACAAGTGGTACATCTGAGTATACCTTGACCAAAGAAGATGTTGGGAGACGCTTGGCTTTCGTATATATACCTATGAACTTTGAAGGTATATCCATTTCAGCCTTGTTTGAAGTTCTACAGGATTTCTTACCACCGAGCAACTTGTATGGTAATGTGGTAATATTCACTTTCTTTTCAGGACAGGAAGGGGAATCTGTGTCAATAGTCTCTGGTACTGTGAGGCAGGGTAAGCTCATTTACATTTATATCTTCAGTGTTATTGATGTTTTATCATTGTTTGTTAATAAACTGGTAGTATATGCATAATTAAAAAGTTTGCAATTGAGTAAACAGATATCATAGTAATTTATTCTATTTTAAGAGGTTTTGCTTGGTTTGTTTTTAGAGTGAATTCTTATCCTATTTGTTCTGCATAATGCATGAAAAAATTAGAGCCCACTGCAACCTGTGGCTGACTTCTCTATCATCATTACTGTAAAATACAATTGTAGGGCTTACACCTTTAATATTTTAAGAATGTTCACTAGTCCAAGACATCATCCTTGTTGAATGTTAAGCCAAGTAATTTTTCTCTTTAATTTTTATGGTGAGTTATTGTCATCTGCTTATACTGATTGCAAACTATTGTTTATGTTCCCAGTTTGCTGATCATTTATGCCTTATTATTTTACACATATGACATTACCATCCTGGAGTGAATATGATATAAAGATTTCATTCTTAGTTAACATTTATCATCCTTACAGATCAAAAACCTGTTATGGATTTCTTTGTTTTATGATCTTATTTTTTGAATTTCCAGCTCCACCAAAAGTGACAAATGTTAAGATAATTGGTGATTTGAGGGAGAACAGTAAGATTACTGTGACTGGTACTGTCACAGGAGGCACTGAAGGTTCAAGTAGAGTACAATGGCTTAAAACAAATTCTTCAGTACTTAATGGTGAGAATGAGCTTGAAGCAATGAGCACGTCCAAGGTTGCCAAGGTTGGTGGTTATTAAAACATTTGCACGTGTAGTCTCTCATCCTCTGACATTTATACTTGATGCAAACTCTGAGTTGAGTTTGACCTTCATTTAGGCATTCCGCATACCTTTAGGAGCAGTTGGCTATTATATCATTGCAAAGTATACTCCGATGACTCCTTATGGTGAATCTGGTGAACCAGTTTATGTTATATCAGAAAGAGCAGTAGAGAGTAAGCATTTTCGTTTCCTTCTTGTTTATGTGCTTATCATGTTGGATTTCAGTGAAAAGAGAATAATAAATAACCGAAAGTTAAATATTAACTTTGGATATTGATCTCAACCATTTTTTGGAGGGATTTTAACATTTTACTTATCTGATTGATGTACAAGTGTGCTTTTGATCTGTACAGCTCTCCCCCCCAGTCTGAATTTCTTATCTATCACGGGTGATTATAGTGAAGGTGGTATATTGACAGCATCATATGGCTATATAGGGGGTCATGAAGGAAAAAGTATCTACAATTGGTACCTTCATGAGGTATGCATTTATGTTAACTAGGGTTTTCATGTGGTTTTATTAACTTGCAAAATGGTTTAGTCCCATTTTTAAGTTTTGATGTTTTAAATGTATTAAGTTTCATGTGAAACTCTGTAATCATTGGTTCTGCTCTAATAAGAAGAAAAAAACAGTTTCAATATATCAAGAAAAAATAAAAGTGTTAAAAGCATCTAACTTAAAGCTTTTGTAAATGAGTTCCAGTCTTACTAACTTATATGTTCTTGGGATCTGTAGGTTGAAAATGACACAGGCACTTTGATTCATGAGGTTCGGGGGCTTCTTCAGTACCAAGTAACCAAAGATGCAATTGGTAAATTCATCTCCTTTCAGTGTATTCCGGTGCGTAATGATGGGATTGTAGGTGAGCCAAGAACCTGCTTGGGACAAGAATGCATTCGTCCAGGTGGCTTTCCATCTTTTATCTCAGCATTTTTCTTCATTCAACAAGTTAAATTTTAACAAATTGAAAATATTCTAGTTGAGTTTAAGAAAAGTAAATGCAATCAATTACTTTATTGGAGAATGGGGAAAACATGTTGAATCATAAAAAATGGCACTTAAGAGAAGTTTGTTATTTAGGATTGCAAGTTCTTCTCATTTTACTCATTTTCATCTACTTAATGGCTTAGTGTTTCATCTTGCAGTAGGGCCTAGAGGTATTTGATTGATTCAAATGAGCAGTTTGGATGTTCTTAGCATCTTAGATTTCTTCTGGATTCCATTATACGTTAATTCTATATATTAGTTAACATGTATACAAATTCCGGCGGTTTAAACAAGAAATTAAGAAATAACCTATCAAAGCCCTAATAGTTGGCTATGACTCAATCCTCAGTCCCTAACATTGTGCATGGTTGATTACATTAAATCTGTGTAATGCTCTCCCTCAAGTTTGTATAGATGTTAATCATGCCCAAATTGTTATGGAGCTATTCAACCCGAGTTCCAGTTAAAATCTTAGTGGATATTTCACCTAGATGTCTTTCACGTATCCAGTAGAGATGTAACTTGTCTTTTTATTTTATTACATGTTCGGTGTCCGCATTGTGACATGTCAAATATGTAATGAACTTGAATCTACATTTTCTTTATATCTAACGTCCATTTTAACTTTCCTTTTAATTATGGAGTGTTGTTATTTTTCATTCATCTAAACCCTATATTCTTGTCTTGCTCTTATTCTACATGTGAATATGTTTTGGTTCATTCATGGTTGCTAAATTTGGAATAACTGGATCTAATTCTTGTGCTTTGTGCTTCTCAATGATCAGGAAGTCCAAGATTGCTAGCGCTGCAGATTGTTGGAAATGCTGTTGAAGGAACTATTTTGAGTGTTGAGAAAAAGTACTGGGGTGGTGAAGAGGGAGATTCGGTTTTTCGCTGGTTCCGGGTAATTATTTGACTCCGTTTTCCTGTAAACTACTATTTTCTTCCTACTCTTATGTGGTATTCATGAAACATTGCTACTGTTATTTTTCTTACATGAAAAATATAATTGGTATTCTAAGCTGAAAAAGATGAAATTTTATTTGAATACTTATTTGTGTTGTGTTATAAAATTTTATTCTCTTTTTGTAACTTATCAATTAATATGTATATCTGCAGACTAGTTCAGATGGTTCTCAATGTGAGATTAATGGGGCTAATGGCTCATCATATATGCCGTCAATTGATGATATTGGCTTCTTTATTTCGATCTCATGCGAGCCTGTGAGAAATGATTGGGCTCGCGGTCCCATTGTTCTTTCAGAACAAATTGGGCCTGTTGTAGCTGGTATAAACTTTCTATTCTAAAACCTTTTTTCCTTTTTCCTTTTTTCATTTCCTTCTTTACCTACTGGGTTACCATTGTTTCAATCATTAATGGGGCTAATGGCTCATCATATATGCCGTCAATTGATGATATTGGCTTCTTTATTTCGATCTCATGCGAGCCTGTGAGAAATGATTGGGCTCGCGGTCCCATTGTTCTTTCAGAACAAATTGGGCCTGTTGTAGCTGGTATAAACTTTCTATTCTAAAACCTTTTTTCCTTTTTCCTTTTTTCATTTCCTTCTTTACCTACTGGGTTACCATTGTTTCAATCATTAATAATGGAGATAGGTGTTATTTAGAAACTGAATTTGAAATGCAGGTCTTCCTACTTGTCAGTCGCTGGAGTTTCTTGGATCAATGATGGAGGGACAACGTTTGAGCTTCATTGCTTCATATATCGGAGGGTGAGACTCATGGTGAAATGCCATCATTTCGATGAGAACTGATTCTTATATCCTAATTGTAGTAAACAGACACAGTTGAACCGAAATCCTTGTTTTTGATTCAGGGAGAGGGGAGACTGTTTGCATGAATGGTTTAGACTGAAAACCAATGGGATCAAGGAGAAACGAAGTAGTGATGGTGAGTTTTGTTATTGAATCTTGACTAAAAGTTTCTAGAGCATAGTCACATGGATCGCGGTACGCTCGGTACGGGAACGTGAAACGGGATCGCAATTCGCTCCCTAAAATTCGGTACGAGGGGTTAGACTTATTTCGGATCGCTTCGGTACGATGTACCAGTTTCTTAGGTTGCAATTTTTCTACATCAAATTTTATAAGTAACTATAAATAGTAGGAATAAAATAAAAGAAATTAAAACTTCCTTAATAATTGAAATAACACGTAAAAAACAGGGATTTAAACAGATATTTACTCTTAACTAAAAACAAATATAAAATTGAACAGGTAAAATTAGAAATAAATCAGTGATCTAAGTACAAAATGCGCATAAGTTACAGGGTCTTATATACAATTTATCAAATTCGATTTAATCTAAAATAATATGTAAAATAACATAAATCGTACCTAAGCATTTAAAATAAAATCAGAAAATTGGGACGAATTAGGGACCGTTTTATAAACATTCACTAAATTACGAGGCCTAAACATAATTTACCCTAAGAATACGGTGACTAAATCCTAATTTAACCGAAAACCTAACTAAAGGTATTAAAATGCCCAAACTCAGCCGCCTCTCTCCAACTCTCCCTCTTTTTTTTTATAGGAACCCGACTCTCCTATCTTCTTCATCCTCCTATATTCTTCTTCGACAGCATCATCGACAGCCGCCACGCCAAGGTTAGTTTCGCCTCGTTCATTATCTTCTTCAGCCTTAAACCGACCCCTGTCGTTCCCCCATTTCCTCTCCCTCAAGCTCCTCTTTAACACTCGACGAAACCCAAAGCCTTCATGCCATCCGCCGTCCTACGCTCCGATGAGGAGCTAGGACTCCATCTAAACCCAAATCTCGTACCGAATCCCGATTTTGAAACGACTGGAACGCGATTTTGAAACGACTGGAACGCGTTTGTACCGCGTTTCGGATCGCTTCGTATGGTACGCAGATCGTGGGCTGTTGAGCGATTTATGTGACTATGTTCTAGAGACAGCTATTTGAGGTGCAAGGCTGAAATTCTTTCTTATCTTTCCAGAATTTCTGGATTTAACTATTGATGATGTGGGAAAAAATATTGAACTTGTTTACACTCCCATTCGCAAAGATGGAGTCAAAGGGAATCCTAGGAGCATAATATCTGATGAGATTTTTCCTGGTGAGTTGTACAAGCCATTATTGGTATTGTACACTTGATACTATACTTATTCCCATGATTGTGCCCAAAATTTTCGTGTATCAGCGGATCCAGTAGGTTTGGACCTTGTCATTCCTGATTGCCATCAGAACCTGGAGACTGTCCCACAGAAAACATATTTTGGTGGACAGGAAGGTGTTGGAGAGTATACATGGTATAGAACAAAGACCAAAATAAATGGGTCTGTGTTGGCAGATATATCTAGTTCTTCTGAAGATGTTATCTGTGGTCAGACATCGTAAGTTTAACATATTGCAATAGGTTTCAGGATGTCTGTATAACTGTTGCACGTGTTAGAAGAACATTTATTGATACCTTATACTTTGCCAGCATGTATACTCCATCACTTGAAGATGTGGATGCTTATTTAGTATTACATTGGATACCCACTCGTGTTGACGGGAAATCAGGAAAACCATTAGTTGCAATTTCCAACTCACCAGTTATTCCAGGTATATCTGTGATTATTCATTTTTTCTACATATATTTCTTGTCCATTGTGAATAACATGCACTTGCCATTGATATTCATGGTAACTTCCTTTTTGAGTTGAAGGTTTTGAGCATTCATATTATTATGTTAATGCTACATTTGTTTTGAACCCTTCCACATTACACATTAAATGTGAATATATTGCAGCACCTCCCGTAGTTTCTAGTGTTTGTGTGAATAAGCTGGATTCAGGGATGTACTCTGGGGAGGGAGAATATTCTGGTGGCTATGAGGGATCAAGTCTCTTTAGTTGGTATAGAGAAACTAATGATGGAACAATCATTCTCATCAATGGGGCTAATGCTAAAACTTATGAAGTTACTGATGCAGATTATAACTGCCGTTTGTTGTTTGGGTAATCATTCCATTATACTCATTTTTTGTTATTTAACCCTCAAAAATTTGATCCCCTGTCATCTTATTGCATAAACTTTAGCTGTACTTATTCATTTTAAGCTGTTAAATGCTTCTCTCAGGTACACACCAGTTCGATCAGATTCAGTTGTTGGAGAACTTAGGCTGTCTGAACCTTCTGAAATTGTTTTCCCTGGTAAGCAAAACATTTGCCTTCGTCTCTTGGGACGTGAAACATTATTTGAATTAATGATTTCTTTAAAGGAGACAAATATTTGGAATTTGGAATTCCCATTTCGTTGGGAAGACTTTTAAAATTCCATTATTTATTGGTTATTGTATCTCCTGTGTCTCATCTGGTGTAGTTCTGCTGCCCTTAATGCCCTTGTATATTTCTGCTTCAATTATGTGAGTTCAGATTCAAGCCTGTTTACTTAGGCCTGAACTTGTTTCAGCTAACCAGATAAAAGTTCATACCAGCAACCAATTGATACTAGCACTGTTTTGGTATATGGGAGGAGATTATTACCAGCAGAGCATAGAATTTCTATCCAATCCTTCACCCCTTCTCCTAGCACTTGAAAGCATCCCAATTAATATTTAGTACAACATATTTCTTTAAATCTTTTTTGCAATTTGAAAAGCATTATTTTGATTTGAATTTGAAAAATTCCTGCCATTCAGAGCTTCCAATGGTAGAGATGCTTGCTGTTACCGGAAAGGCAATAGAAGGTGATGTACTAACTGTTGTTGAAGTGATTCCAAAAACTGAAACCCAGCAATGCGTTTGGAGCAAGTACAAGAAAGATGTGTTCTATCAGTGGTATTTTAACATCATACATAATCTTGTTAAGATCTAAAGCAACCACTAAAGTTTCTAATCCTATATTTCTTGTGGATTTCTTTTAACATGAAGCTGAATTAAGAATGAAATCAATATGAAGAATTAAAAAGCATTGAACATAAAGAGGCAGTAAAAATGAAATTTTGTTCTCATATCCGCAGTTGTTATTTCTTTTGTTTTAATGTAACATAAGGGATCCTGCAGGTTCTTTTCATCAGAAACAGGGGATAGAACATCCTTTGAGCCCTTACCCTCGCAACGCTCCTGTTCTTTTAAAGTTCGCTTTGAGGACATCGGTAGATGCCTAAAATGTGAATGCATTGTGACCGATGTCTTTGGAAGGTCAAGTGAGACAGTATATGCTGAGACTGCTCCTGTATTGGCAGGTTATTTGCATTTCACCTTCATTCACTGTATTTACTCCCAAGGAAAATTCTCTTTAACAAATTCATTATGGTTATGGCTCATTCACTCATCATCTATCTTCATGTTTGGGATGATTCGGTCATCAAGAAATATTTCTCTTGGGTGTGTTAGACTAATTACTTCTGTATGAGCTGCTCACCATAACTAAAAGTTGATGTTCAAGAGTCCTTTAAAGTTAAATATGGGTTCCAGTTTTTAGTTGGGATATAAGGATTACTAATGCTCTTACTTTTTATATTAAGAATCATTTGTTGATTATCATTTGGCTCCTTTATTTGATACTGAAATTCTCGTTTTCTTCAGGTTTTCCAAGAATTGATAAGCTTGAGATTGAAGGGAGGGGATTTCACACCAATTTATATGCCGTACTTGACACTTATTTTGGAGGAAAAGAAGGAAAAAGTAAAATTCAGTGGCTTAGGTCAATGGTTGGCAGTCCTGATCTTATCTCCATACCAGGTTTGCAAAATCCACGAGTCTGCTGAGGATTTTAGGTATCTATATAATTGTTTGATTGAATTTCCAATCATTGGATGCCGGTAAGAATATAATTTTCCCCTCGTTTCTGGTCGAAGTTGATAATATAATTTCTTAGTAAGAAATATTTTTATAGCATACTGTAATGTCCTGGTTCCAATCCTTTTACATATATGTTCTAAAGATTAACTGATCTGGGGGAAGAAGAAGAAGAATTTACTGCCTGGCTTAATTCTTAAGATATCATGTCTCTTATGAGATTATAAGGAACTTATTTATTAACTTAATTTTAAGGCATAAAGTCAAAGTTCCAATCTTTTTCAGTTCTGAAAGATGAATTGATCCTGCAGGTGAAACAGGGAGGATGTATGAAGCAAATGTTGATGATGTAGGGTACAGGTTGGTTGCTATTTATACACCAGTAAGGGAGGATGGCATTGAGGGGCAACCTACTTCTGCATCAACTGAGCCAATTGTAGTTGGTAATTTTGAATTTCTTCTTGTTTAACTTGTTGAATGGTTATTATTATATTGTTGAAATCAGAAATTTAGAGGAAGAGAAAAAAGAGAAACTAGAGAGAATTGAATCGATCTTGTGTATTGAAAAAGATAATTACAAGGCTATTTATATACAAGAAATAGAGCAAGGAAAGAACAATTAAATGTAATCCCTAATTATCAGCTAATTAAATAAAAAACAATTCCTAAGAATCTGTTGAATATATGTCGGTTACAATTATTTTTTTTAAAAATTGATGGAAATTTTTTATTGCATTCTACTCAGAATTTCTTCTCGTGTTGCTTGGTTGAGCTTGAGCTCACCTAGTGTTAGATGATTTTAAGAGTTCTATTCATAGTAGTTAGATGTGCATGTTGTCCCACAACAAAATACCAACTTAAACGTGGTGAATGTGCTTTGAATTGTTGTATTTCAATTTTTCATGCATTTAATGTGTCTATTCTTTTTTACATTAAGCTTAAAGAACCATCCGGAGGAGGAACCCACCACGTTGAAGGAGAACAGCCCTTATGTGTTAATAATTAGAAAGATGAGAGAGAGTGTCAGGGAGAAAGTGGGAGAGAGAGAGAGGTTTTCATTTGGTCAGTTTTCCGGTGAGGAGTGGACGGTTTTCGTTGACAATCTGAGTAAAAGGGTAACTAGGAAAACTCTTAAGGAAATTTTTCATCAACAGGGGAGTGTTGTTCGTGTCTATATTCCGAATAATTCCAACAAGCCGAATTATAGAAATTATACGTTTGCTTTCGTCCAGTTTGCTAATGAGGATGGGTTGTTGAAGGCGATAGCAAATATTAATGGTATCTGGATTGATGGTAAGAAAATCTCAGTAGGAGTTGCTAAGTACCAGAAGAAGAGACTAAAGCAGGCTGTTAGAAGTAACAACAATAAGGAAGTTGATAAGTGGAAAAAGGATACGCATCGGAGTAGAAGAGCTGGATCAGAATCTTATAGCCGACTGAGAGATGAGAGATCTTACAAGGATGCGTTAGCATCTTTGGATGGAAGGAGAGAAGGTCCGGCGTCTAAAGTGATTTGGGAAGGCCATAAAGACAAGGAAGTAGGGGTGAGGAATTTGTGGGAAATGCATATTCCCCCAGACGAATATGATTGGGTGAAAAGATCAATAACTGGGATCATTAAATCCCATTTTGATATGGGGACAGTAGTGAAGGGGTTGGCTAGTAAAGGGATCAAGGTCAAGGGAACTAAATGGGGTTATACCTGGAACTCTTGCATTATAACCTTTGGGTCGAAGGAAGAGTTCGAGGAGGCGTGGAAAAACAGAAGGGATGAAGTGTCACTTTGGTTCGACTGGCTTGATCCACTTATGAGTGTAGATGGAGTCCCGATGGCTTTCTGTTCAGTGGAGTTGTATGGAATCCCTTTACTATGTTGTAATGTATCTTTTTTGGAAAAGCTGGTCTCAAGGTGGGGGAAATTGGTGTGTATTCATGAGTCCACGATCAGAAGAGAGGATTTGGCGGTGGCAAGAGCTTTGTTGAGGGTGGTGAGTCCTTATGATATACAGGATTCTGTTACCTTGGGTGCATATGGGAGATCGTATAAGGTTAAGATTAGTGTGGGATCGGTCAGTTCTAAACAGGAAAGTTTTTTTGCAGAAATTCTTCAGGTGGCCGGAGATGGTGTGTCTAGAGTTGATTCTTCATCGGAAGAGAAAGAAGTCCGGAGTTCAGGTGGAGTAGGTAGACCACAATTGCCAGCTGAGAATTCTAGGGACACAGTAGACAGATGGTTGGTAGGTGATGTCTGCACAACAGTGGCAGGCGGCAGTGGAAGTAAACATTTAATGCTGCACGAAGGAGAAAGTCAACCTAGTGGTGCTACGGTGTCAGGTTTTTCTGCAGAAGATTTGAATTTTAAAGAGGACTATAGGGGCCTTGGTCTAAGGAATGTCTCTATTAATGAATCTGAAGAAGCCCATTTAGAGGGCTCGAGTGAGTCCAATACAAATATCTACAGAATAGTACCTTCTGGGCCAGCTGTTAATTTATTAAAACTGGGATATGGTAACCGTTTGGAGTCTCGGGTGGAATTGGCAGGTTCTCAGCAGCAATCTGATTCGGATAAACTAAAGGTGCAGAATTGGGCTAATGTCTCGGCAGACTTAAATCCAAATTTGTTGCCTGCTGGGTCTTCACAATCTAACAGGGAGTATGATTCACCAGCTAATAATCTAATTCCAGGGGGCATGATGTTAAATTAAGTAGGGTGGAGGTTCAAGGAGAGTTTCAGCATTCTGTTTTGGTAGACTCAAAACTGCAGAATTCGAATACTGATTTGTCAGGTTATAAACATATTTCGATTGAGGGTGGGTTCACGGATAGAGTACAGTCTCAATCTGAAGGGATCTCAAATAAGCCAAATAAGGATCTGTTAGAGGAAGTAGTAGTCTTGGAAAAGGACGATTGTAGGGGGGTTGGAACTGAACTGATTAGGGATAGAGACAGATCGCTGTTCCAGCATAGAAGAACACTTTGTCCCAAAAGTTTGCCCATAGAGAGGAGGAGAATGGCCAGCTATAAAAGACATTATACCAGGTCGAGGGTGAGAATTAACTGGTTTGAGAATAAACACAAAGGTATTCCGGTGAGAAAGGATTTGCAGCCTCCTTCAATAAATATGGAAGTGGAAGGGAAGTGATTTTAAATGGTGCAGCTGATGATCAGAACCCTTATGTGGCACCAACTAATTGTAATAGTTCTTCGGAGGTCTTGGCAGTAGTTCCTTTCTCTGCTGTAGGGTCAGGAAGGTCTAAAAGAAGGGAGAGAAGAGTTTTAACAAGGGAAGCAGTTGATATGGTTAATTCTCCTTTTGTTTTTACTCCTCAGTTCTCGAAGGCGGTTGAGGAAGCGATGGTTACATGGGAAGTATGTAAAGTTCTAGGAATTTCTTTCAAAGATGGGAAGAAGGCTTTTTTGGACAAAATTATCAACCTTGAAGAGGGTTCGGCTGAGAGTAGGGAACAGGGGAAGTCAGGGGTTTAGTCTCTATTTCTCTGTTGACTAGCTATAAGGATTTGGTGTAGATCTTCTTGTTATGATAAATGTCAACATTATTTCTTGGAATGTAAGGGGTCTTGGAAAAAAGGAAAAGTCAAGAGTTGTAGCTAATTTGGTGAAGAAGAATAAGCCGAACTTGATTCTAATTCAAGAAACAAAACTGGAAACTGTTTCTTTGGCTCTTAGAAGAAGGATAGGGGGGAGATTCCTTAGAGGAGGGATTGTTGCGCCAGCAGTGGGATCTGCTGGTGGATTGATGATTATGTGGAATGAAAATGATTTTGAAGTTTCGAACAGCCATCTTAATGGCAGATTCATAGCAGCCTTTGGGAAGTTCAGAAATTCAAGTGAAGAGTGTCTGATTATCAATGTATACGGTCCATCAATTGAAGCAGAAAAGGAAGATTTTTTCAGGGAATTGTTGGAGTTTGTTTCGGCTCAAAATATGTTAGTGTGTATTGGGGGAGATTTTAATGTGTATCTTGATCCGGACGAGAAGTTGGGAAAATCACAAAACTGGCATTCTATTGATTTATTTAGAAACTTCTTACAGCAATCACATTTAATTGATCTACCTTTGGTGGGAGGAAGGTATACTTGGTGCAATAATAGAGAAGACTCGACTTGGGAAAGACTAGATAGGTTCTTAATCTCTGGGACGTTTCTGTCATGTTTTCCAAATGTAGTGCAAAGTCTCTTGCCTAAATCCCTATCTGATCATAATCCAGTCTCATTAGAGGACAAAGCTGTTAATTGGGGACCGAAACCATTCAGGTTTTTTAATTATTTACTAGAGGAGGAAGGATTTGAGGAATTGGTTAAATCTTCAATGCTTGCTATGAGGGGGAGAAATAATAAAAGGGGTATTTTCAGTATCTTAAAAGGTAATAAAAATTCAATCAGAAATTGGTCCAGCAGTAAATTTATTGGGATCCCTGAGTCGATTTCTGATTTAGAGAGGAATATTAATGAATTGGATCTTAAAGCTCAAGGTGAAATTCTTTCGAAGCAGGAGTGGGATCAGTTGAGGCTGTGTAGGACAAATCTATGGAGGTTGTATAGGACAGAAGAAAGCATCTGGTTTCAGAAGTCAACGGCGAGATGGATCAAGGAGGGGGATAGGAACACAAGGTTTTTTCATCTGTCTGCTCTGAACAGAAGCAAAAGAAATGAAATCTTAAGCTTGAAGATAAATGGGAGTGTGGTTTCAGATCCTCAACAATTAAAGGTACATATTTCAGAATTTTTCAAGGCAGCCTATAATTCCAATTCAACATTGGAAACGGAGGATTTACTACTGGATTTTGCTAAGCTATCAGGTGATCAGTCTAAGAAGCTTGAAGAGCATTTCTTAGAACAGGAAATTTGGCAAGCTATAGTTTCATCAGACAGCTCTAAAGCTCCAGGACCAGATGGTTTCACCATGGGTTTCTTTAAAAACTGCTGGCCGATTTTAAAGGAGCACGTGTTGAAATTTTTTGAAGATTTCTATTTTGGAAGGAAATGGGAGCACGGTATAAACCATGCTTTTATCACACTTATTCCGAAGAAGCTTAATCCGGACAGTGTAGAGGAATTTAGACCAATCAGCCTTGTAGGCAGCTTATACAAGATACTTTCTAAAGTTCTATCGAAGAGACTGAGTTGTTGTGTTGGTGATATTATTAGTCACTCTCAGTTTGCGTTTATACCAGGGAGACAGTTGCTGGATTGTGCTTTTATAGCAAACGAAGGGATTGATTACTGGAGGAAAAAAGGGTTAAAAGGGGTTGCCTTCAAAGTAGATTTTCGTAGGGCTTATGATTCCGTGGAATTGCCAATTTTAATCAGAGTAATGTCAGAGATGGGTTTTGGTAAGAGATGGTTGTCGTGGATATCTCAGTGTATTTCAACAGCTTCAATCTCAGTTCTCTTAAACGGGTCTCCATCGGAAGAGTTCCACATGGCCAAAGGACTTAGGCAAGGGTGCAATTTATCTCCGCTACTGTTTAACATTGTAGGTGAGCTGCTTAATTTGATGATATCTAAAGCAGTGGAGAGGGGTCTGTTTCAAGGCTTTGTTATTGGGGAATCTGAAAATTCTGTTCGATTGACACATCTACAATTTGCAGATGACTTGATCATCTTCTGTCAAGCATCTCTCTCCCAGATTAAAAATGTCAAGAGAGTATTGAGGATTTTTAGTGTTATGACAGGGTTGCATCTTAATCTAGCTAAGAGTAAGCTATTTGGTATTACTGTGGAAGAGGAAGTTTTATCAGAATGGGCATCTTCGGTGGGCTGTTCTATTGATTCTCTTCCAACAGATTACTTGGGACTTCCTCTAGGTGCTAAGAAAAACTCAGAAGCCTTATGGGATCTAGTTTTCAAGAATTTTAGTTCCAAACTAGCCGGCTGGAAAGCTAATTGTCTCTCATTGGCGGGCATGACAGTTTTATTAAAGTCGGTGTTAACATCCCTACCAATATTCTTCTTATCTCTTTTTAGAATGCCTTGTAAAATTGGTAAGAAGCTTAATTCTTTAATGGCCAGTTTCCTATGGGGGGATAATGAGGACAAAAGGAAGATACACTGGGTTAATTGGAAATCAGTCTGCACGCCTCTAAATTGTGGTGGCCTTGGTGTTCTTGATGTGAACCTATCTAATCGGGCTCTTTTGGGAAAATGGGTGTGGAAGTTCGCCAATGAAAAAAATACTTTGTGGAAAAGTGTGTTATGTTGCAGGCACAAGGTAAGTAGTAATTCCATGTCTATTTGTAAGGTTTTTTCGCCCAAATCTTCTTGGATTTGGAGAGGGATTGCCAACAATTTCTTGAAGAACGACTCGGAGGGTGAACGTATCAGATCTAACTCCAAGTTGAAACTGGGAAATGGAAAGTCTATTACATTTTGGACGGATTCATGGGCTGATGAGTCTCCTTTAAAAAATCTTTTCCCTAGAATGTATGCGTTGTCAACAAATAAATGGGGTATGGTCGCTGAGTTTGGAAGTTCAGATTCGAACGGTTGGGTGTGGAACATCGATACCAGAAGGAATTTGTGTGACTGGGAGTTGGATCAGTGGCTGGATTTAATGACAAAACTGAAAGACTTTAAACTGACTGATTCAGTTGAAGACTTTCTTTCTTGGTCTGCAAGCGGGGATGGACTGTTTTCAGTGAAATCTTGTAGAAAGGAACTCGACAAGGTGTCTGGGGAGTCCGATTTATGGGTAAAAGGGGTGTGGCAGGGTTTATCTCCTTCTCGTGTTGAAGTCTTCCTGTGGCAGCTAGCTCATCAGAAAGTGGCAGTGAGAGAGGAGTTGGTGAAAAGAGGTTTGCAGCTAGGGGATGAAATTCTATGTCCGTTTTGTAAAAAACAGGTGGAATCAGTTCAACATTTATTTATTTCGTGTGATGTTGTTTGGGAACTTTGGAACAAGATAGCAAGCTATTGGGATATAGCCTTAGTCCTTCCAAAGGATCCACCTTCTTTGCTATGTTCTTGGGGTGAGCTGAGGGGGAAATCGTTGATTTGGAAATTTATCCCGGGAGTAGTATTTTGGTCGATATGGAAAGCTAGGAATGCAATGGTGTTCGAAGGTTCCCCCTTGGATAGGATGTCTTTGTTTTTTATTGCTAGATTCAGGTTATCTAAATGGTTTCTAGCCAAGTATCCTAAGTGTCCTATTCAGGAGGATGTGCTGATTGGTGATCCATCTCTTGCAGATGGTATTAAAGCTCTCAACATTTACAATTTTCAGGTTTCTCGCTGGATTCCACCCCCTATGAATTTTTTGAAGATGAATGTCGATGGAGCTGTTAGACTTGATGGCTCAAATGGAGGTATAGGAGGTATTTTGAGAGATTGGAATAGCAACTCCATTCTGACTTTTTCAGAAAATGTAGGTCAGGGTCCCCCGCCGGTTGCTGAGTTAAAGGCTATTAAGAGAGGCATTGAAATCTATATGTCTTCTTGTTGGGTTAAGGTTGGAAGGTTGATTGTGTAAAGTGACTGTAAGTCGGCTGTGGAATGGGTCCATACCCCAGCTTTGGCCCCTGTTTTTATCCTCCCATTAGTTAAAGAGATTTCATCTTTTATCTCGGACAGGGTGCACTCAATTAGACTGATTCCAAGGGTGTGTAATGGGGAGGCTGATAGTTTAGCAAAGATGGGAATTGGTTGATGTTTAGTCGTTTCCAGTGCGTTTTATCGTTTGAGTTTAGGTTTTTGGTTCTGTTGAGTAGCTTAGTCTGTTGTGTTTTTTCAGTATGGTGTTTATGTTAAATCTTATGTAATTTCGGAGGAGTAATAAAGTTTCTAAGGCACTCTTTTCCTCCTTCTTTGATCAAGAAGGAGGTTTTTAAGGAGGCCTGTCATTCTTATCAAAAAAAAAAATGTGTCTATTCTTTTTATGTGGACATTGTTTAAATTGCAGAGCCTGATGTTTACAAAGAAGTGAAACAGAAGCTTGATCTTGGATCTGTAAAGTTTGAGGTGAGATTATGTTCCTTGTTTTCAAGCAATGTGTATTTCTTTTGACCATTATATAAGTTTTTGTTCTTCCTTAATGTTCTTGTGGTGTTGATGCATCTTTCTATTTTTAATACTATGAAGTACGAATTTATAGGCGTGCGATCTGCCTTTACTCATTCGACTTCAAAAGTCACAAGAACAGTTTAGGATATCCGTTATTATGAGTTTTGTAAAGCACCAAACTGATACTTTTATTTTACTTTATTTATTCAAATAGATATAATGTCAATTTAGAAACATAGAAGCCAAAAGGAGGGAATAACATAGAAATATACCTGAGACTAAATCCTAGTTGAAAAATGTAAGACAAATTAATTTGATAGTTTCAGATGGACTGGTATAGTTTGTTAATATTTTTTCGATTTCTGAGACTTACTGCTTCAATCTCTGGAACAGGTATTATGTGACAAGGACCGCAGCCCGAAAAAGGTTCTTATTTCATTTTTCTTTCAACTCTTTATACGGTTATTCTCTTTCGGAAAGAAGAAATAATAACTGCTTTTATCACTATTCATATTGCAGGTTCCAGGAGAAGGGTGTCTTGAGAGAAGAATCCTGGAAATTAACAGAAAACGAATCAAGGTGGTGAAGCCGGGTTCAAAGACTTCTTTTCCTACTACTGAAATACGCGGAACCTATGCTCCGCCCTTTCATGTATGTTTGTTTCTTGACGGAGATAATTTTAGTCTGTTAGACAATGCAATCCTCTTCTCTTCTTTAGTTAGATGATTTGATTTGCTTCAGCTCAGAAAGCTTTGAGCATTATGCCATTCTTCTATAGTTCTTTTTGTTAAAATTTTGCAGGTGGAAACTTTCCGTAATGACCAACGCCGACTTAAGATAGTGGTGGACAGTGAGAGCGAGGTAGACCTCGTAGTGCAGTCACGATACCTCCGAGACGTTATTGTTCTTGTGATCCGTGGTCTTGCTCAGCGGTTCAATAGTACATCTCTCAATTCTCTCCTTAAGATAGAGACATAAATCTTGGTCATAAAACACAAAAGCACAAAAGAGCAATCAAACTGTAGGTTTCCTTTTTAGGTCTCTATGCTTTCTCTCACCGAAGGTTTTCATCGGTGTCGGTGCCATTGACATCATTGTTTTTGCTTGTTAACAGTATATATTATCCGGTGTTCTGCTTGCAAAGCATCGGCGGTGCGGTGTTTCACTTGTGTGTACATTATTCATTTGAATAATAATATTCTATTGACAATTGTCTCACTAGTGTTAATATATGATTTCAATGGTTGACTTGTGATGCTCCTCCGATCCCGAGGTTTGTAAAGGTAGCCGCCGTTGTATCAGTAGTGTGTTTGCTTCCTTCACTGCCACTTTTAGCCCAAGCGTCACTAAGAACCATCCAACGGAAAACACTCGTGCTAGCGTGGAGTTGGGGCTTGAGTGAGTTAATTAAAGGTAGCAAAAAAATGCGCCAGCTAAGCTCTCTGGTTAACTTACGCATCTACCTAAGACGCTAAAATACGCAGTAGGCGATTGACGACACCTTTCAAAAATGGTTTTATTTGAAGTTTGCTCCCTATATTATATTAATTTTTTCAGATTATATTTATTTTTTCAACTTGGTACCTCAAGGTTTTTTTCTCGTCAAAATCACTCGTAAAGTATTGAAACGTGGCATTTCATAATCATGAATGCATAAAAACGTGACTTGTAGGACTTATGACAAAAGAAATTGATATAATACTAAAATTTAATTTGACTATTTGATAAAATAATTATTTAGATCTCTATTTAAAAAAATACTATGATCCTAATGTTTTATTTAGAGGTAAAATAACGCATGATTATGTGAAAATTATTAGTTGACAAACAATTAATATGTCGTTGAAGTGACGCATATCTCATGTCAAAATTGATGACATGATACATGTTATGTGTTGAAAGTAATGACATAACTGTCTAATATCAGCAACAAACATTGATCGTTAGTCGATTAATAATTTTCATCCAATCATGAATCATTTTACTCATAATGAAATATTGGAGACCAAAGTATTCCAGAAAAAAAAACGGAGATTATTGTGACTATTTAATTAAATATTAAAGATATTTTTGACATCATGTTAGAAAAAATTTAGGTACTAAGTTGTTAAAACTAAGTATAATTAGGGAACAAATTGTCAATAAAACCCAAACAAAATAATAATAGTCCATTCGCCATCCAACCGAAAGGCACTCTTGCTAGCGTGGAGTGAGGGTGACGTGATCATTAGCGGTAGCAAAAAATGCGCCAGCTGAGTTCTCGTCCCCCATTCCCTCTGCCTTTGGATGCTTCTGCTGTCTTTTGGTGTTTCACTCTTCTTCTTCTTCTTCTTCTTCTCTCTTCGGAAAGCTAAGAAAACAATAAATCTTTAAGCTTTCCTTTTGGTGCGAGTATTTTGCACCTTTCAACTCCTTCCAAACGATTGCTCTCATTTCCCTTCTGTTTCAAGCTTTGATGTCTCCTTGTTCATTGTTTCATTCATTAAGTATATTGGTTCATTCTGTCTTTACTCTTCTTCTTCTTTTTTCCAACAAAAAATAAGGGAAAGAATAAGCAAGTCTACGTCAGTTTCTATTACAGTCACATTGTTTTCTTGTCGTTTTATGGTTTTTTTCCGTTCCCTTTCTTCTCTTTGGTCTTGGAATTGTTTTATTGCACCTCCACTTCAGCTAATGAAGGTTTTTGAGGCTGGCTGCAACACTGTATCTTGTTCTTTTTTTTCTTTTTTATCCAAAACAGCAGTCGTTGAGATGCATTTAGTGTAAGAATTTCTGTGTTGGGTTTGAAAGTTTTGATCTTTGGGTTTAAAGATTATCACTTTGACTGAGAAAACCTTGTTTAGCCAAGGGAATTTACTTTTTTGTTCATCTGTGAGTTGTAGAAATCTTTGAGATTTTAACTAATTGCTTTGCCATGATTTCTGTAATGTTTGAAATCTTATAAAATTTCCAGGAAAGGAACGCATATGCATATGATCAGCCTTAGCAACATGCTTAGATCTTCGATTTTTTTCGATATTATAATCAACATTTAAGGTGTAGAGAAATGAGTTTGTGTTGTTTGTATTGCAGGTTAAAGTAGAGAAAGTTGATGCTTTAATGAAACCCTGACTGAAAAAAATGGGCTATGTTGCTTCGAGGATCGATATCGAAGGGAGGGTTAGGGTTTGTAAGGAGAGGAAGAAGCTAATGAAACAATTGGTGGGTTATAGGGAAGAATTTGCAGATGCTCAGTTGGCATATTTGAGGGCATTGAAGAATACTGGTGTGACTCTTAGACAGTTTACCGAGCCGGACTCGTTGGAACTTGATAATATCTCTTCTGGCCAGACATTGCCTCCGTCTCCACATTCCCCGTTGCCCCTGCCGCCGCCGCCTTCTTTTAGTCCTGATTCAAGAAAGGTTGGTGATAATTGTAAGGTAGAAGCTGCCCGAGAAGGAAGCATGGAGATTACTCTGGATAATTGTTCTACGCCACCACGTCCTACTGCAAGCTCATCATGGAACTATTGGGACCTTTTCGAGTATGCTTCACCTATCTGTAATCCGAAACAGAGTGAAACGATAGAACCGGTTTGGGAGGAAAGTTGGGCAGAGAGTAAGATGGAGTTTGAGGATGAAGATCAAGGAGAAGAGCTTGTTAAAAAGGCCATAAGTCCTCTACCCGAAAAGCCTCCGCCTAGGGAAATCGTTGACGAGAACACATCGATGATGAGCTGGTTTGATAAAGACTCTACCGATGTTGCCGCCGTAGTATTGAAGAACAGGAAGACCTTGGAAGGAATTACAAAGGAGTTAGATGACTACTTTTTGAAAGCATCGGCTGGTGGAAAGGAAATAGCTGTTTTTACAGACATCAATGTAGGGACCAATTCTCTTCCATGGAAACTCAATGAAAACAAAAGTAAGTAAACCTTTTAACGGTTCTAAATTTGCCTTCTTGCTTCAACTAGATTGGCAAATGAATCCCGGTTCAGGCCTTGCAGGGAATTCTAACGAGTTTTTTCGTTGGTAATTGTTGTTTGATCTCGTAATACTCCATTTGAGCATCGAATAGTCAGTATCGGATTGGCTGCATTGTGTATAATACTCACTGTTTCCGACGTGTCCACATTACAGGGAAGAGAAGCAATTCTGCTTAGGTTTTTAGCGCGTTGTCATGGAGCTGGTCTTCTAAGTCCCTTCTGCTTGCAAGAGATGATTTTCAGCGTGGATCTGGCGAACCATGCAAGCCTGGAGCTCATTGCATTACTCTTGGTAAGCTATATGCGGCGGAGCAGATGCTTTACAAGGAAGTAAAGGTAAAGAGTGGTACTTAGCCCGGAGCAGATGACTACGCTTCGTGTCGGTTTCGGTTTCATATATGATTCTGTTTAAGTCTTCGTATTCTCAGGGATAGCTATGTTTCGTAGGAGGAAGAAATTACCAAATTAGAGCTCGAAAGAAATTGATGTTGCCGCAAAAGCAAGACAAAAGCCATGACTGGACCAAGACCGAGAAAATCAGATCGAGTGTTGAGAATCTGGAGAATGACATAACTCACCTGCAACATTCAATAAGTACAGACTGTTCATCTATAGCGGAGAAGGCCAAATATCTAAACTCCGTCCAAGTAAGCAAGACCATGGTTTTAAACAACCTAAAAACTAGCCTTCCCAATGTATTTCAGGCATTAATGGGATTCTCCAAAGCTTGTGTTCTAAATATACCTTGTGCCTCGGAGCACTCGACGAACTGATTTTCTGCTAGATTGGTCGAGTCGAGCTGATTTTCCCTAACGCAGTGAACATGAGAGGATAGAATTATAGCATATGTAATAAGCATCTCAGTTTACTTTTCACCAGGAAATGCAAATCTTATCCTACTGCCAATAAAGCCGAACAAAAATAAACTGAAATGGAACAACCTGAAGGTAAACGTCAACGAGAGATCAGATCAATGCAGCATCGTTAGTTCATCATCTCTCTTGGAAAGCTCCTCCACCGAAATATCGATCGCCTTCGAAATCTCCTCCATCTTATCACGGCTCAGATCAAGGAACAATTTCGATCAAATTAAAGTCGAAAAAGTTTTACTTCTGCAGATCTCTTCTCATTGTTGAATGATATCCATTGTTTGTGGCTCAATCCTGAAGCTCGAACCTGGTCGTTTGTGAGTAAATTGAGTTGGAAGGTCATCTCATAATGAACTTCTGTAAAATCCGGTTTAAATTAATCAGTCAATAGATTGAATATCTCTGATTAATTAAAAAAAAAGAAATTGACATTTCAATTAATGTGAACAACTCAATCGGTATGAACCAATATCTCACATCAATACCAGTTTCGTTACAACTCAATGTCAATCGACAAGGAAGATACACTGAATCAAATTGACAGAAAATAATAAATCAAGCAAAAATCAAATGCCAAACCAATTATAACATTACTTCCAACATTAGAATGAATATATTATCAACAATTTGAGTATCTGAACCATCGTTTAAACAACACAACAAAACACCTGCTCTATGTAGTTAGTAAATCATAAGAACACATAATTTTTTAATGATTTTATATAATTATTTATGATTTTATATTTTTAAATACATTTTATATTTAAAATAATATTTTAAAAAAAATCTAAAAAATCCTCGTAAAACAATTAAATCCCTACTTAAGAATCAACAACAACCAATTAAACGTCTCGTACGTTATTATTTTCCATTATTTTTTAGGACCTTTTTATTTTTTAAACTTATATTTATAATATAAATATTATATTTAGAATTTTAAATCATGTGTGTATTTTACTCCCACTAAAAGAATAATTATTCCCTCAGTTCCACCACTCAAACAGTCATTTATTGATTTTTTTAATTAATTTTTTTTATTTTCACTCATTATTATTTAAAATTTATTATTGATAAAAATATGAAAATATATATTTTAAAAAACTTTTGATCAAGTAGTTTTGAAATATATATTTTATAAAAGTTAATTTTTTAAATATTTAAAATAATTATGGTTAAAGACTTAAAGTTTAAATTTTTTTATCTTTTAGAAAATTAATAAGAGATAAATTTAGTGGGAATGAGATTGTAATATTTTATTTCAACAGTAAACTGACAATTCTTTAGTATAATCCCAAGAGAGAAGAGTAACTGAAAGTTTGAAATTATAACAGACCAGAGAGATCGTTGCCGCCTTAGGCTAAAACCCTAAAATTCTAAAAGAAAAACTACCTGGAATTCTCAGTATCATTCACATTCCGAAAAACCAAAATAGATCAACAAAATTTCATTGAACCAAGTTTCCTTCTCTCTTATCGGAAAGCGAAGAAATAATCAATAATCAACCTACCATGGCGGCAGAGGTTATACTAATGAACGAGGTAGAGTCGAAAGCGGCTCAGTTGGGTATCGATCTGAGTATCGATTTCAATTCCATTCAACTTCCTCCCGGTGAAAACTTCGACATTGTCAGGTCTTAGACCTGATTTTATCTTTCTAAATGTTTTAGTCTTTTAGACTGATTTTGTTTTTTATTTGCTTTTCTAATCTTCGCTTTTGGACAGTGATGATGAGGATGTTTACCATGAAGATCAGCTGGAGTTTGATTCCGGGTTTGGAAATGTGATCGTCGTCGATAATCTCCCCGTTGTTCCGCGTGAAAAGTTTGATAAACTCGAGGGTGTACTTAAAAAAATCTACAGTCAGATTGGTGTAATTAAGGAGGATGGTCTTTGGATGCCAACTGATCCTGAGACTAAGAAAAGCCTAGGTTACTGCTTCATAGAGTTTAATACTCCTCAGGTTCGATATTTGCAGCTTTTGAAGTTATATATATATAATTAATTTTGATCTTATGGCTTTATATTTTAAAATCTTATTTGGTTTTTATTATTATTATTGTTAATGGACATAGGAAGCTGAGCTTGCTAAGGAGAAGACAAATGGGTACAAGTTGGATAGATCACATATTTTCGTTGTCAATATGTTTGATGATTTTGATAAGTACATGAGAGTTCCGGATGAATGGGCTCCTCCTGAAGTTAAACCCTACACGCCAGGGGTAATATTGTTAAAACGTAAAACCAACTTTCTCCTTCATTGTTTTGGTTGTTGGTATTAAATGTATTTGATTCCACATTTTCTTTGCTATTGCTATACACACACATAGGCAGTGAAAGTGTTGATTAGAGTTTCCTTAAAATTTCAAATTATTATATATTTTAGATTTTTTTATATTTTTTATTAATAATTTATTTTCGCCCTTAAAATTTTAAAAGTTTATCGCCCTGGTATGAATAGATGGTAACTTGTCTCCATGAATAATTGAGTGTTTATCAATGGTTTAGTGCTCTATGTAACGATTTAAAATGTTAGAAAGATAGTTTTGATTTATTTGTGGCCATGGTAGTGTTAAATTTTTTTTTGTGATTTTTTTATTATTACCAATATACTTGCATTTAGATTTTAGTGATTGTAATTGTAGATTTCTGTCTGGTATTATGAGGAGTTTATCACTATTAGAAATGTGTTTCAACATATTATTTAACCGCTATATTATATCTCAAGTGTTATTCTTTTATTGCACAAAACCTGTGTTATACATGTTTATCCGCGTGTGTATATATGTATCATATTTCTTTGATGTCATTGCAGGAAAATCTTCAGAAGTGGCTTACCGATGATAAGTCACGAGATCAATTTGTAATTCGTGCTGGCACGGACACGGAGGTTCTTTGGAATGATGCAAGGCAGTCTAAAAAAACTGAGCTTGTTTACAAGCGCACTGTAAGTAGCTTGCCCTTGTATCACATACAATGGATAGAGTGTAAATGAACTGGAATTAAACGAATTAGATTGTATTCGTGTTCATATTTCTTTATTTATTTTTGAAGATATTTTTGGTTGATTTATTTAATGTTTATAAACATGTTCAGTTATGGTGGTCTAGAACGAACACTCTTTTTATTCTTTTACTTGCAAACCAAAGAATGTATAACTATGTCACTAATCCTTAAGCCTCTTAGATTTCACAGTTTGAGCTCTAAAGTTTACCATGTGTTAAATTTTAGTCCTTGCTTTCATCAATATTTAAAATGTCAAAAAATTAAAGAAAAAGGATAATCGGATAAACGAGCTTATAAATGATTCGATAAGTGAGATTATAAACGAGTCAATAAATAAGCTTGTTTGTAAACATAAATGAACCTGAACACAACTATGTTCGTGTTTGTTTATTAAATGAATATAAAAATTTTATTCATACTCATTTATTTAACTTAATTAACGAACATAAACGAAAAAATGTTTATTAGTGCTGCAATATATACTGTCCATATCTTTTGACCAAGGTGTGGTATTGGTTGAATTATTTTAATTCAGTTCTTTTATGGGTAATTAAACTGGTTGCCATTTTCATTATTTAAATTTTAATACTACTTTATAATTGATTATAACCTTTTTTGTTTGCAGTACTGGACTGAAAGTTTTGTACAGTGGTCACCCCTAGGGACATACTTGGCAACAGTTCACAGGCAAGGAGCCGCAGTTTGGGGAGGTGCTACTACCTTTAACCGCCTAATGCGTTATGCCCATCCTCAGGTTACAATCAGACTTTTGGTTAATATATTCCCTGAACTTTGCTTCTTCTTCTTTTTCCCTCCTTTAACATTCAAACACTCATACAGGTTAAGCTTATTGATTTTTCTCCTGCGGAGAAATTTTTGGTAACTTACAACAGTCATGAACCAAGCAATCCTCGTGATGCCAATGTGAGTTTTTGGAACTAATTACACATTGCTTAAACTTTATTCTATTATTCAAATGTTCTATCTGATATAATCTTAATGTATTCAGAGGGTTGTGATAAACATTTTTGATGTGAGAACCGGTAAAGTGATGAGAGATTTCAAGGGTAGTGCAGATGAATTTTCAATTGGAGGAGCTGGAGGTGTTGCTGGAGTTTCTTGGCCTGTTTTCAGGTGATCCTTTCTTGTGATCATCCTTCATGAATCATGTGTTCCATATTCTCTCTCAGTCACCTCCTTTCATCTCATCTTTGTGAGGTTCTCTGTATCTGACTAACTATATTGTCATGTTCCAGATGGGGAGGTGGAAAAGCGGACAAGTATTTCGCCAAACTCGGGAAGAATATGATATCTGTTTATGAAACAGAGACCTTTAGCCTTGTCGACAAGAAATCTTTGAAGGTTGAAAATGTTGTGGACTTTACTTGGTCACCAACAGACCCCATTCTTGCACTTTTTGTTCCTGAACTTGGAGGTGGAAATCAACCTGCTAGAGTAGGCACATGTGCTTTGTTTGAGAAGCTTCTTTATTTTTGTATAAATTTAGATTTAGATATCAACTGATGTGTCACTTGCATGAATATCTCAGGTGAGTCTAGTCCAAATCCCGAATAAAACTGAGTTAAGGCAGAAGAACATTTTCAGTGTTAGTGATTGCAAAATGTACTGGCAAAGCGATGGTGATTATCTTGCCGTCAAAGCTGATCGCTATACAAAAACAAAGAAAAACACATATACAGGCTTTGAGCTCTTCCGCATCAAAGAAAGGGACATTCCAATTGAGGTTTTGGAGCTGGATAATAAAAGTGACAAGATCATTGCTTTTGCTTGGGAGCCCAAGGGTCACAGATTTGCTGTGATACATGGGGATAATCCAAGGCCGGATATTAGCTTTTACTCTATGCGAACTGCTCACAATACAGGCCGAGTTTCGAAGCTTAGCACACTTAAAGGCAAGCAAGCAAATGCCTTATTCTGGTCACCAGGAGGCCGTTTCATTGTGCTTGCTGGATTGAAGGGTTTCAATGGTCAGTTGGAATTCTTTAACGTTGATGAGCTTGAAACCATGGCGATTGCTGAACATTTTATGGCCACGGATATTGTATGGGATCCCACTGGAAGGTAAGCCAGAGATAACTTGACAACATCTATAACGGATTTACTTGTGTTATTTTCTATTTAGCTCAAGTAAAAGATATATATTTTTTTGCTTAAATATCTATTCTAATAAGTTGTCCACACTGTATATGTTAGGTATGTTGCAACTGCTGTGACTTCTGTTCACGAAATGGAAAATGGTTTTAACATTTGGTCCTTTAATGGCAAGCTACTTTACCGGATACCGAAGGATCATTTCTTCCAGGTAAATGATGATATTTGATTTTTGTCACGGATGGACGGAGGATATTATGCTACTTAAAAAAAATTAGTGGGTAGATTATAAATTAAGGGGCAAAAGCATATTATTAATAAAAAATATAAAAGAAATATCTAAAATATATAAGAATTTAAATTTTTTAGAGGTTTGACTACTCCCGACCATCCCCGTTTGTTGGTACTTGAGTGGTATGCATCAGTTTCTTGGAGTTGGGTTTACAAGGTTAGTGCGCATTGATCTCATTGTTTTGTGGGAACTTATTGTTGCATTGCAGTTCTTGTGGCGCCCAAGGCCACCATCCTTTTTGAGTCCAGAGAAGGAAGAAGAGATAGCAAAGAACTTGAAGAAGTATAGCAAAAAGTACGAGGCAGAGGACCAAGATGTATCGATGCTATTGAGCGAGCAAGATCGGGAGAAGAGAAGGATGTTGAAGGAGGAATGGGAGAAGTGGGTTAGCGGATGGAAGCGGACACACGAGGAAGAAAAACAGGATAGGCAAAAGTTGAGGGATGGAGAAGCTAGTGACGGAGAAGAGGAATACGAAGCCAAAGAAGTTGAAGTAGAGGAACTCTTGGATGTGTCGGAACAAGTCCTACCATTTGAAGATTGAAAGATGAAACACCGAAATTTTTATCATCATTTTGCTTATTGGATTGGATGCCTTCATTATTTCTAATTGAATTTTGAGGCATCAATAATGGCTTTTCCCCCATATATATTTTTCCTATATCTGTGTTTTTACTTTTAATATAATTAAGTTGTTTTTGTTTTTTTAATAGTATGAATTGATTATAAGATAATATTTATTTAATTTTTTTAATATATTCATAATATACATACTATATATACGTAATTATTTGAACTTAAATATTCTAAAAATATAATATTTCCTTTTATCACTAAAATTAATTAACATATTTAACTCCATTATTTTTTATATCTTTTTACCGGATGAAACCACTCGATGAGTGAAATGGTCCTTATCCTCCACTCCCACCTATTTTTTTAATTTTCTTATGTTAATAAAAAAATAATTGTTTTTCTTCGTATTAATACATTAGAAACAAAATGAGTAAGAACTAATATATAAGAAAAATAAAGGATCAAAATACACTTAAATTATATTTTATTTATTATTTTAGCATACAAAAAGATTTTATTCTTTTCCACTATGTCACATTCAAAAAATAACACATGAAATTTTTATAATTTAATATATATATCTTGTCCTACGTTTTAAGAATATAAATGGGTAATTTTATAAGAGAAATAAAAGGTTAAATAGTATTTTAACATACGAAATTATATATATTTTTTTATATCTAAAAATTATAAATTTTCTAACTATAAAACACATTGTTCTATTCACATTTTATCACATAAAAATTATATAACACTCTAAAAGTACATCACATAATACAAAATACATATTAAATGAACAAAAAATATTGAAATATTTATAATTTAATATATATTTTGTCACATTTCAAGAGTGTCACATAATTTTTTTAAATAAAATTTTAATTAAAACAACATCCTTCTCGTTTTAAAAATTGAAAATTTTAATTTAACCAAACTTTTTTTTCAGATGTTAGAATGGTAAACGTGATACAATTTTAAACGTTAAAAATACTATTTGACCCAAAAATTAAATTCGAAAGGCAACACGAGTGGGCTGGACGATCCAAAATGGGTCCAAAATAAAATAATGACGAGTCTACTGAAACGCTGATATATACTGGACGGACTTGAAATTATATCCCTACGGGTTCTCTTTTGTCTATTTAGTCTATACGAACCGATCTCCCGCGAGAAGATCATACACACAGGCACACAGCAAATTAGATCGAGGTAACCTCCGTCTCAGATCTGTTAACATCGCTATCTTATTTGTTAGTTTAGAGGATAGAATCTCCAGATTTAAACGAACCTATACTTCTCGAAAATTTCAAAATGTTGAAGGCTATATTAAGTCGTACTGGTGTTTTTCCCAGCGAGCAGCCTAATTTTTGTTTTTGTAGCACTATTCCATTTTCTTTCTCCCAAACACTGCATTTTTATTATTGATATTTGCATTTACATGCTTGTTGTTGTATAGATCTGAGGTGGTCGATGTGTTTGCTGATTTGATCGTCTGATTAGTTTTTGTTTCTTGATTGTACGTTTTGTTTTAGATCTTTTTGAATTCGTTCCTTCTTAATTTACTTTATCTTGATTCCATTTCTAGATTTTAATTTTGAATTTTCTTTTATCCTAACGTCATGTTCATTGTTTACTAGTTTCTCTGCTGAGTAGCTTGCTCCGATATCCAAGATGGTATATACCTTAGCCTTTACTTCATTCTCCTTTGTTCTTTTTTGTTGAATTGTCGGTTTGGATAGAATCTCATTTAACTCATTTTTATACTATTTATTCACCAATTGAATTGTGTAATGATTTAGGAGAAATTGAAGATAAATGCTGAACCATTCATTGCAACCTACGAGGTTCATTTTCTGTTTTCTGCAATGATACAAAAGTTTCCTTTTATTTTTGTGATTCAGGTTGTACTTGCTGCTTCTGTTTTAAGCAAGTCCGGCAAAGGTCAGTTCATTTCTCTTGTTATAGTTGTTTTTATCATGTCATGATGATTGAATAGTTGAAGTGCAAAATTTGGTTCTCACTGACATTCGTTTTGTCTCTCATTTCAGTGCTTGTTTCCAGGCAGTTTGTGGACATGACTCGCATAAGAATTGAAGGTCTTCTTGCAGCTTTTCCCAAGTTGGTGGGCACGGGAAAGCAACACACATATGTCGAGACTGAGAATGTGCGATATGTTTATCAACCGATAGAAGCTCTTTATTTGCTTCTTGTAACTAACAAACAGAGCAATATTCTCGAAGATTTGGAGACTCTGCGACTGCTCTCGAAGCTGGTGTGCATCAGCTGCTCTTTGATTTATTTCCTCTCTTTTTTAGATCTTTGATCATAATAAATTACATAAAAGTAAGACATTTGGTTTTTTATTTCTTTGGTCACCTTCAGTAGTTGCAAGTTGATTTTTATTCTGTAGTTGAATGGACATCAGTGCAAATATAATCTCTGTTTCTTTTATCTGCATGTGTTTTTTAGCTAGTCATTCCTTTTCAGTTTTCTATCTCATTAAATTTTTCTGTTACCTAAGGCATTTTCAATTTTTATCCTTTGTAATAATATTCTCTGTCTCATCTGAGTTGAACAAGTACTCACTTTATTCCGTTTTTTTCCCTAGGTACCCGAATATTGTTACTCTTTAGACGAGGAGGGTATTTGCAAGACTGCTTTTGAATTGATCTTTGCTTTTGATGAAGTCATCTGTCTTGGGCACAAGGAAAACGTGACAGTTGCACAGGTTAAGCAATACTGCGAGATGGAGAGTCATGAAGAGAAATTGCACAAGTTGGTATTGCAGAGCAAGATTAATGAAACTAAGGATGTCATGAAGCGTAAAGCTAGTGAGATTGACAAGAGCAAGGTATATTTATTACAATTTTCTTGGCCCTTGTAATAATTAGTCTCTTTTTTATGTACTCTATTTCTTCACGTGTATTCTGCAGATTGATAAGAATAAAGGTGATAAAGGAGGGTTCATGTCCATGGGCTTGGGAAGAATTGAGGCTAGCTTTAGTGATATGAGCATTTCTAGCACTGGAAGCGGTGTTGGCGGTGGTTCTGGGGCGGGAGTAACTACTGATGTTGATACCTTCTCTACTAAGTCTAAAGGTATGTCACATTAGTATTACGCCACATGCAATGAATTGGACTTGTTTGCATGTTTTTAACCAATTGAATGCTTCAGTATTATTCCGTAAGAAAGTCAAGATGTTTCTCTCTCCTAAGCATGTTTAATATCAAACTTGTTTCGGAAAATTTTCTGACCTTATGCTCATATTGCCAGGCCGTCAACCCTCATCTGCAACTGCTCCTCCTAAAGGTCTTGGCATGCAGCTTGGTAAATCACAAAAAACAAACCAGTTCTTGGAATCCCTGAAAGCAGAAGGCGAACTGATTTTTGAAGATGTGCAGCCAAGGGCAGGCCAATCACGAGTGGCTGCACCTGCACCTACTGATCCCATCACTTTGACTGCCGAGGAGAAACTCAATGTCACTCTAAAAAGAGATGGTGGAATAAGTAACTTTGATGTTCAAGGGACTTTGTCTCTTCAAATTCTTAACCAGGATGATGCACACATCCAAGTTCAGGTAACAATTTGGATCTTACTGGTGTGAGAATTCATAATCTGTTGGAAATTTTTAAAAAATCATGCTTTAGCTTTGGTGATTAGCATGAAGTTCTGTTTGGTTTAAATCTTAGTGTTATGTAGTTTCCCATTTGGCACAAAAATTAGCATGTCCCTTATTGAAGAATGCGCTTTGAAGAAACAAGAATGCAGGTCTTTCAAATATATTATTTTCCACATTCTTGAAGGACAATATCTTTTGTTGCATCATGGGATGTGATCTAATTTATTCTTGTTAATCAGGGTAGAATACCACTTTCTTGTATTTGCTTCCATATTTTTACGTTGCCTCTCACTTGTCTACTGCATCTCAAATCCCTGGGAACATTTGTCTTAATCCATGTTGGTATGACTTGCCACTGAAAGACATTCTATTAACTCGATCATGTAACAATAAACATGTCCTCAATGTGCAACATATATTGCTTCTAAAGCCTTCACTGCATTGAGTTCACTATTTTTCCTGCGTGCTTTGTCTTCAAATTTTCTGCTACAATACCTTTCCAGCATTGAATTACCAAATTTCGATCTTTATTTTCAGATTGAAACTGGGGGTAATCCTGGCATTCTTTTCAAGACTCATCCTAACATGAGCAAGGAGTTATTTGCCAATGATAATATTCTGGGGTTGAAGGACCCTAGTAGGCCTTTCCCTACTGGTCCAGCCGGGGATGCAGCTGGTGTTGGCCTTTTGAAGTGGAGAATGCAAAGTGCAGATGAGTCAATGGTGCCATTGACCAGTGGGTCTCGAATCTAACACTTCCCACTTATTCTTGGTAATATAATTGCTATTGCATGCTTTTATGGTTACTGAGTTTTTTTTTGGTTGCAGTCAACTGCTGGCCATCAGTTTCTGGAAATGAAACTTATGTCAGCATTGAATATGAAGCTTCTACCATGTTTGATCTGCGAAATGTTGTGATTTCTGTACCTCTCCCAGCTCTTCGGGAGGCACCAAATGTCAGGCAGATTGATGGTGAATGGAGGTAAATTGAGATCATTTAGTAAACTGAATTCAACTCAATTCAACTGAGTCAAGCCATAATCCAGAACTCTTTTGGTCTAGCCTTCATAAGATGTTACTAACTTTGATGATGATGTTGTGTATCACAAAATGCTAAAACCTTAAAACAGTTTTTATCTGCACTATATCATTTCCAACTTCTTGTTTGTCTTGCAGGTATGACTCCAGAAATTGTGTCTTAGAATGGTCCATAGTTCTGATCGATAACTCTAACCGCAGGTTGGTACATTTGCAACACTTCAAAGCTTCTTATTGTGTTTAGATATTCTCAAGATGCTATTGGTTTATAAGTCTTTTCTTGCTTCTCACAATGGCAGTGGATCGATGGAGTTTGTTACGCCTCCGGCAGATTCATCAGCGTTCTTCCCCATTTCTATCCGCTTTTCAGCAGCTAGTTTATACAGTGACCTGAAGGTTTGATATTCAAATTCCTTCACCTTATCGAATAAATGCCACAGATTTCACTCATTCGAGGGAATTTATCGGTGTAGGTTGCGAACATCATTCCGCTGAAAGGTGGTGGAGCTCCCCCCAAATTCTCCCAGAGAACAAATTTGATTACTGAGAATTATGAAGTCGTGTGAGGCTGTGAGCGATGGATATTCAGAACTGTAATAAGAGGCGGTGAGTTCGCACTTATATCTATGGTTCAAACAACCGCTGCACCTTTCTTTTTGCTTCTTTATAATATGCTGGACTAGCAATTTTGTTGCTCCAAGTCTATATATTCTTTTCTCTTACGGTATAAATAATAGCTTTCTTATACACTAGAGATGAGTGAGTATTATTTTTTTCGTCTTTTATATATTTTGTTATCCTCAGATTGAATTCATTGAAAATTATTATATACAAATATATTAGTGGCTGTTGTTAAACTTATTCTAGAATTTATGATCAATATATTTAGCCCTTAGTCAATCTTCCACAGCGTCTGAATAAATAAAACTGAACCAAATTCTTTTCTAGTTCTTATGCCTTCTACTTCTGCCTTGTGCTGGTGATATGATTCGTTCTTTTCTAGTCACTAATGTAATCGAATTATAATAAAATGATCACTCTAACGTCAACTCTAATTAAATTGTTGATGTGATATATTAAAATGATAACATCAACTAATTCCTTCAATAACCGTGCAATTTGAACCCTTCATTTTATTAAGGATTGGGATTTAAATTAGGTAGAACCAACAAAAAGATCCTGCTTTCATTTCAAGCATTGCATCAATTCATTACCGAGATGCTTAACCATAAATCCCAAGGCACAAAATAAAAGAGAACAAACCACTGCACAAAACACTTCAAATATCACAAGACAGTAAATCTCAATACCATTTAGCCAAGAATGGCATAGAAGCTGCCCCGAGGAGGAGTGGAAGATTAGATCCGAGCAGCAATTTAATATTGCCTTGCGTTATGGGGTTCATGAAATCTACCCCAAGGAGGTCAACAAGAGACATGTAAATCAAGATTCCAGCCGAAAGGGAGTTGAAGATTCCTTCCACCACTAGTGCTTTGGGGCTGTTCTCATTGTATACTTTTGATACACCCATGCCTATGGCTATGCCCGTCGGGGTTGTCAGGGAGAACAGCACTACCATCATTGCAATGGCTCGGCTCTTGAACTTTGCCTGCACTCGGAAATTTTAATAAAATCATAATAAGCATTTAGGGAAGTGACTATTTGACAAAAATCAATATTCTTACTATGTTAATGTAATTGTTGATGGGGAAATGAGGTTATGATTGATTTTTTATGGTTCGTTTTTTTAGTTTGAACGTAAAAATATTGACGCTGGTTTAGTAGGTTGAGTGAGATGATGAATAGTAGAGATGTTGAGTTCGAGAAATATAGTCTCCTTCTCTATTCTTACATGATAATTTAAATGCATGCTTTTAATATAGATGTTAGATCTAAGGTGATGATTATTTATATATTGTTAAGTTAAATAGACTTGATTGTCGTATAGTAGATTTAATTAATCTTGTGAGATTGTCAATAATCATATTAAGAAATTATAACTGTCTAGAGAATATGAAATTTCGGTAGTTTCAAAGAACTCCGAATGACTAGCTAAACAAAAGAATGATAACAGGAGTATCCCTTACAAAAAATAATCTGAAGAAGATACAATAATATTGTACTAATATATCTTGGCTAGAGAGAACAATTATTATTATTATTATTATTATTATTTAATGACGTAAATTAATATTCCTCCACTGTTACTTCACTATATTATAGCTAGGCTTAGGGACTTGTTAGCTACTTTGACCATCAAGTGTCTATTTTGTTTCTCTAGGCAGAGCAGCACGGATATGAGCATGGATAGACTTGGTCGTTTTTTAAAAATTTTAAATTATATATATTTTAAATTTTTTATATATTTTATATTAAAAATTTGTTTTTACCTCTTAGAATTTAATAAATTCGTTTGATCTTAAAATTTTATTTTTCTTAACATAAAATTATACTTATGTTATAGGATATGAATATAGTTTGAGGAGACAGAATACCTGAGAGATGCAGCCACCAAGGCCCATGCCTTCAAAGAATTGATGGAAAGTCAATGCTGCTACAAGTGGCTTGATTGTTTTTGCACTTTGGGAGCATCCCAATGCCATCCTAATTATTACCGAATGAACCGCAATCCCCACCTCCAACACCTATTTCAGTCATTTCAACCCACCATATTCACTTCCAAGTTCTTCATGATAACAAATAGAATAAAGTATATGAACGATTACTAAAATATATTAAAACATTTTCTAATTTTTGAAAATTTTAAAATTTTAAAATTATAAAATAATTATGTATTTCGTCTCACTAAATGTGTTCATTATAGACTTATCAAAAATTTTAAACTTTGACCATAATTATTTTAAATATTTTAAACAATTAAATTTTATAAAATATATGTTTAAAAATTACTTGATTTAAAGTTTTTAAAATATATTTTTCTATATTTTTATCGATAGTAAATTTTAAATAATATTGAGTCAAAGCAAAAAAAATTAATAGAAAAAATCAACAATGGATAGATTTAATAAGATAGAGGAAGTATTATTTTTATCAAAATATGGAGTATAAAACAGTCATTATAGATTATAAGATAGTGATAAGTTTTAATAAGTTTAAGGATTATTTTGTAATAATTTGATAAGTTTAATGATTACTTACTTTACAATAGTTTGAAAATTTTAATAATTATTTATAATCATTTGAAAGTTTAATAATCATTATATAACTTCAATAATAAAAATCATTTTAATTAACATAATTTAATGATTATTTGTATATTTTATCTTAACAAATAATAGTAGAATCTGATATATGTTTGAGTTACTAATAACATTTACCATTTAAATCATATTATAGATAAATATTTCATGAACCATCTTCGTTAAAAATCATCTATGTTCTTAACTAATAAAAATTATTCACGTCACCCTCTTTCTTTTATAGATGATTTTTATTGGGTGAGAATAAGGGAGGTTCTTATTATAGATGATTTTTTCATATATGTATATGTGTAACTTAATCTAAGCATAAAAGTTGAATGCATTTATGAATAGGATATTAACCTGTGAAATAATACGTTGCCTAATAAGATGATGGGAAGATTCAGAATCCTGTGGCACCACAGCAGAACCATGAGAATGTCCATGAGTGGCATGTACATGAACATGTCCCTGATGGTCCCCCATCATCTCCTCATCGCCGTTCACGGGCAAAGCCTTGTTAAAATGGGAACTCTTGAAGAAACTCGTCGCCAACGTCTCGATCATCATGGTGGCTATGGCCGAAACCATGGCAAGAAACCCGGCGAATGGGAAAACCCCCCAAGGCTTTTCGCTGAGGCAAGAGCTGGACAAAGACTCGTATCCGTCGGGGACTATGTGCAAGAAAGCGGTGGCCAGGATCACCCCGGCCGCGAACGCTTTGATCAGGAAGAAGATGTTGTTTTCTGGTCTATTGGAATATGCATTCTGGAATATACATTTGCATTCTAGAATATGCATTGTTAACGTGTAATATGTGCATGCACTGTTAATGTGTGCATTGAGTGTGTGTGCGTGTGAGTTGTTATGGTTGTTAAGGATATGGACATTTTGGATTCTGTTATGAATGTTGTTATAGGAAGCTAAGAGATTGAGTAAGCTAAGAGATTGAGTAAGCTTGAAGTCATAGCTACTATATAAGTTGGTTGTGATGTAGTTGCACGTGAAGCATAATAGTAATATCAGATGTTATTCATTTGATCTTAATTCTCAACATGGTCGAAACGTCGGGATTTTCTTTGCCAGAATCGGCAGTGAAACGCCGAGAGCACCGGCCATCAAGATCGATGCGACATTTCAAAGCCTTGGTTCTGTCGCCGGGGCATCGAGACTCAGCTCGTCGTCACAAGCACAGTATGCAGAAACCATGAAAGGGAGATAAGGAAGACAAAGAAAGAGAGAAAAGAGCAAAGTATGGTTCTTCATTTTCAGAGAAATAAAAAAAGAGAACTGGTATTGTAGGGTTCTACCTGGAGTTGAACTTATAAGGTCAGTAAGTAGTCAGTGTTAATGTATATTAATATTTATAATAATATATACATATATATACACACACATCCGAAATAATTAAATTTATTATATATTATAAAATAATTTTTAAACTTATCAAAATTTATAATTATTTATAATATCACAATAATATTTTACAATATTTTAATAAATTCAATGATTATTTTATAATATCTAAATATTTAATGATTAACTTTTTTTATAATCTAACTTCAAATATTTTCATTTTCAAAATTTGAATAAAAAATTCTATTTGAGAATCTCGAATTTATTATCACACGATCTAATATATATGTTTATTAGATAGACTTGACTTATCACGTTATCAGTGGACATCCGTACTAGCCAACAAAATCTATCTATTTCATTTAAAAAAAAATTGAATCTTCACCTATTTTTTATACGTAAACAAGAAATATGTAATTTTTTAAAAATTATTTTAGAATAAATAAATATTATTAATTAAAACCACGAATAACTCGTTACATATAATAATTTCTCGTACGGAAAGAGAAGGAATGCTCAAATTGTGAAGCCAGTTGGGCATTAGCAAAATAAAGAGATTGTAAAGAGGTTCGAAATGGCGACATGCAACTCCACGCAAATAGCGTGAGAGTGTGTTTGGTGGTGACACGTGTATGGTAATTGGACGGCTAAACTCACGATATAATGCACTCAAAATAAATAATTCACGAAATAACGTTCTCCCAACATTATTTGCTGAAATAGGGTGAAATCAACAGTGTGGCCGTAGGTCGCCATGCCTTCCGGGCGACCTACGACGTGGCTTGCTTCTGTGTGCATGGGACATGCACAACCCAACCATAGGTCGCCATGCACTCCCAGCGACCTCCTAGGTCGCCATGCACGCCCGGCGACCAAGGAGGTCGCCATGCACTCGGGGCGACCAAGGATTCATGCATGGGGAGATCGTGCCATGCACTCGGGGCTCGGTTCATGCATGGGGCACTCGAGGCGACCAAGGATGACCAAGGAACGGTTCATGCATGGGGCACTCGGGGCGACCAAGGATCGGTTCATGCATGGGAAGAATGGGGAGATCGTGCATGTGTAGGTCGCCATGGAGTCCCGGCAAGGTCGCGAGCAGGCGAGCATGCAACAGGGGATGTCGCCGCGAGTGCATGGCGACCTCCTTGGTCGCCGGGCGTGCATGGCGACCTAGGAGGTCGCTGGGAGTGCATGGCGACCTACGGCCACTGTTGATTTCGCCCTATTTCAGCAAATAATATTAGGAGAACGTTATTTCGTGAATTATTTATTTTGAGTGCATTATTTCGTGAGTTTACCCGTAATTGGACTGAATGACGACATTATGAGAAATCCCAATAATTTAATTAACTAAATAAAGGCCTATAATTATTAAATGCTATTTTCTTTATGTCTAACCTACTCACTGACTAGAATTTTAAAATGTCATGGTTTAGGACTGCATTTTTTTAGCGAAATTCTAAAGAAAGGTGATTTAATTTAAAGTTAAAAAAATTATAAATGGGCACGACTATAAATATGATTAAAAAATATATTTTTTTAGTTTGACGCAATCTAAAACTAAAAAATTATAAAAAATCATATTTTTATTTACTAATTAAAATTATTATGAAAAATATCATATTTTTTATTATGATCAATTGGACATGTTATGTTTTTATCACATTTTCGGTCACACCTTATTTTTATTATTTTTGACCTTAGATTTAAGTTGTACTATAAAACTGACGAGGAGTGCTTATCGAGCGAGTCTGTCGCGAGTTCGGCGGTACTTGACTCATGCTCTTTAAAAAAATTTAATGCTCAATTCGACTCGTTGCTCGTTAAGCTTACTAAAAATTTGCCTTATTTTTTTTAACTAAAAATAAAATTTATTAATACTATAGGAGGATATTAGGGTTGTGTTTGGTTTTTTATATTATTTAATATTATTATATTTTATTATTTATTAAAAAATAATAGATTAGTTCACTTATTATTTTTATTATTTATTATTTATTAATAAATTAATAATTATTATTTAGATTTATTCTTTGAATGAAATAAGTTTAAAGTAATTACTAAAAATATATTTTAAAAAATTAACGAGTTATTCGTTAACTTATCGAGTCGAATTAGACTTTATTTGGCGCAGCACGTTTAGGTCACGAGTCAAGTTCGAGTCGAACCAACTCGAGTCGAGCGTTTATCGAATTTTGATTGAGTCGAGTTTGAGGTGCTAACACCCCCTTGAACTTACCTTTACGGATAAATCAAAACTCAAGTTCAAGGCTAATGTGTGATCAAAATAGATTGAATGATTAAATTTAAAGAAATGTTAATTATTATTTTTAGTTTTAATAGTATTCGAGTTAATTCAAGTTAACAGTTTAAATTTTGGGTTCAATCTTAGTTTAAATTTTACCAGTTTAAATAATTAAAAACCAAATATTAAAATTATGTTCTTTTTAACTTTAATCAAGTAATTTGATTGTTTTATGATTTGATCTTTAATTTTTTTATTAATTCAATTCATGTTTTGTTTTAAGATTTTTTTTTTTTTGAAAGGAGGCGATATTGTATGTTACAAGCCAAAGTCACATACAACATCGGACAAAAGTATGAGCCTCGCTTTAAGATTATTTTAATCAAATTTGAGTAGCTTGTTTTTCAATCACAATAGAATGTATGTTTAATTTCAATTTCTTTTTTTGATAACAAATTTATTCTTTTATTCAATTTAGTTTTTCAACCTTGTATTTTATTCAATTTAGTCATTTGACTAGATATTATATAACTCTAAATGATATTTGATTTATTTTTTAGAAATAATAGAACTGATGGTTGAAAATAATGGCGACAACAATAAGGATCGATGATGGTTAAGGTTAATGAAAATGTATTTTTTAGAAAAAAATATTTTAATTTATTTTTATAAGAAGGTGAAAAAAATAAATTTTAAGAATTTAAGAATTGAATTTAAAATTACTCTTTTTTAATTTGTATCATTATTAAGCTAATTATAGTTAATGGGAGTTAACGACTTAATAATTAAAATAAGACAAATCAATGATACAAATGATTAAATCATTCTTTTTTCAAAATTGATAACTAAAATAAGACAAAATTAAAATAAAAAGAACCACTAATGTAGTTAACCCACGATTCTAAAGACACGATTTTGGTTGTCCATTGACTTGACCTATAAATAGAGCACATCTCCTCTATTTGTAACATCTCGAGCAAAAGAATAATACTTCGTTTACTATCACTAACCATACATTTTAGGAAATAATGTATGATTAGTTGTAACAAATTGTTGAATATTACCTACGGTTTTCCTTCACCAAACATCAATGTTATTAATAGCTTCCAAAACTAACATCAATAATAATAAAAGAGTTATTTTTTAATCAAAATAAAATTAAGGATTAACTAATTCAAATACCACCAACCTTTAAGTGTTGATTCTTTTATACCACCAACGTTTTAATTTTATCAATTTTAACACTAATATTTATGTTTAAATGTAATTATGTCACTCCACCGTTAATGATTTAACAGGACAATGACATGGCAACGATATGCCGTGACGTCACTGATGTGGATGCCACATATAAACGACGTCGTTTTGATATATTTTTTTAATTTTCAAAAGACCTAAAATGACGTCGTTTTGCTCGAATCCTAATTTTCACATGGACTAAACTCAAATTTCCCATTATTTTTTCCTCTTCTCCCTCCTCATCTTCATCTGCGTCTCCTTTTCCATGGTTTTCTGATAATATGAAACTAGAATAACCATCTTTATCATGAAAAATATTTTTTGGCAGACTTTATCATGAAAATTAAGATGAAGATTTATAATCTAGTTCCTTTTTGGCAATGGCGCGGCTGCCGTCTCCTGGATCCTCTCGATTTCGTTTCTCATTTTGCCCTAAAATATCACCTTGTCTTTGTCAACATAAAGCTTCTCTTATTGCAACAGTCTCCGCTCAACCCCACTCCCTTTCACTCTCTTATTTTGGTTTTTATTGTTGTAGTCAAAATTATGCTCTTCCCTACAACCCCATTGATGAGCCCTTTTCAACCCAAAGCTTCCACCTTCAGCCTGAATTGAAGCTTCTTTCTTTTTCTTTTTTCTGATTTTTTGTTGTACTTCACCTTTTTGGGGATTTTCTTGAGAAAAAATGGCAGAAAATATCAACAGTTCGGCCATTAATCTCCTTTGTACAGAGAACACAAGATGTTGCTTTGATGGAGATCTTGATTTCAATGCAGTGGATGAGTTGGGGGTTTGCCCTGTTTTTAAAAATCAGACCTTTAATCAAAATGACCCTTTTATTCTAACCGACAGATCATCTTCTTTGATGGGTTGTCCTGATTTTGAATTACAAAGTGATGACTTAATTAAGGAAATGGTTGAAAAAGAGATATGTGTTTGCTTGGAGATGATTATCTCAAGAGACTGAGAACTGAGGATTTGGACTTGAGTGTTAGGAGACAGCCCATTGAATGAATCTGTAAGGTCTATTTTTTTTCCTCTTTGCTTGTTTGATCCATTTAACTAGCTTTTGTAACTAGCTTGTTTGCTCGTTTGGTTGCCAAGAAAACTATGAAAAAGGTGATGAAGATGAGGAAAAAATAATGGGAAAATTTGATTTTATTCCTTAGAAAAATTAGGGTTCAAACAAAACGACATTATTTTGAGTACTAAAACAGAAGCGTCAAAATGACATAATTTAGATGTGACATCCACGCTAGCGATGTCACGATATGTCGTTACCATGTCATTGTCTTATTAAACTATTAA